AGGCTTAATTGAAGAGTTTATCACAAGGTCACAAAGACCTTGCAAAGTCGTCGAATTTCACTTTCAGATATATTGATGACGTCTTGGTCTAACAAGAAATTCATGGATCAGGTCCATTTATATACTCTAAGGATAAAGAAACGCTAGACAAACTTTGAAGATTATTCTAGGCAAGACGTTGAGTATAACGTTCAATATTTTAAAGTAAGAATGAAAATTAATCCATACAGAACAAACTGAAAACTCAACGAACTGTATGTGGTAAGTGATTTAGGAGTAATTGAAGGGAACTGAAAGAGAAGTGTAATATGAAATCGAAACGGACTGATTGTGGGAGCTGGCTAGTCAACACCGGATAGGTCCCCCATTTTGTCTTTCTATAGCCTTGAATCTCATAGGCATAGAGTTCATGAGAGAGTTTATCCTTCTCATTGAGATGTTGGTCCATTCTTCCAAGAGTACAGTCGGACTGGGACCCCTGAGGGCGAGTCCAATATGGGAAGTAGGGCAGATTTTTAAAATCCTAATCTTTCATAATTTCGTGATTAAATATGCCTAGGTTTGGTCTCAAGCATCCTTGGGGAAGGGGAATCAGTGGTGTATAAAAGGTTGGATCTCGACCACCTGTGGCGAGCCTATTGGCGAAAAAGTGCAAATACTTAACATCCTACTGCTTCTGTAGGAATGCCTGTATTATGTCTCAATTTGGTCTGAAGCATCCTTGGTATTCCAAATTATTCGACTCCAGACCGATATGAGAATTAGATAGAATTAATACTTACAAACAAAAATGCGTCTCTCCTCTTACGTGGAAAGGACGGGCTCCCTGTAGATGACAGGAAATAAAAATTCTTCAAAATTGGTCTGTTCTGTAGGAATGTCAGGATCGTGTCGCAATTTGATCTGAAGCATTCTTGGGTGAAGAGGAATCAATTTTGTATAAATGGTGGGTCTCGGCCCCTAGGGCGGGACACAATATGGGAAGTACAGCAAATTCTTTAAGAGTTATTCTCTTTTGGAATGACTGAATTTTATTCCAGTTTGGTCAGAAGCATCTATTGATGCAGAGAACTTGAATTTTCATAAACGATGTATCTGATCCTTCATAGGGAAGTAGAGTGGTGCCTAATAGGAGAAAAGGGTATACATCTTCTAAATACCTTTGATTTAGTTTAGAAGAATTTCAGCGAACTTAACCAGGTGAGTGATACAGGACCTATTGACCTCTTGTTAGTGTAAAGTTAGTTAACGGGAAGCCTATCTATGTAAGCTGTCTCTAGGTATTAAATTGGTTGATGTTTCATAACCTACAAACTCTTTGCTAGTCACTTTCGGATGAATTTCTCTTCTGTCCTACGTCACCTGCGACTGCCTTTCACGTCTATCCCCTCCCCCTCCCTTATCCTCGCCCAATTAATATGGTGCACATACGCACGTGTGTTCAAGATGGGATGCATGTGTAACACGCTCGCACTCGTCATTACGTCATTGTTTTGTTTACGTGGTTAAATAACACAATTGTCCTGACAACAGAGGAGCTAAATCGTCCACGTGAATTCGTCTGATTTTCAAACAAGAAGTCACCAGACTTAATGATTAGTGTCAATGATTCTTCTGTCAAACTTTTGTCGTATTTTGTTCCGTGTAATCTATATAAAAATCAGATTTACGTATGTACTGGCCTCGTTATAAGTAAGACCCTTGTATAAAAGGTACCTCTTTAGCAAATAGTCTCTAGTGTAGAATGTATGCCAACATAACTGGCTCCGGGGTGTGATAGGTCGACACACAGCTGGCACCAGAGTATGATAGATCAATACAGAGAGGTTGTATACAAGAATATAACCGGTCTCGGGGTATGCTAAGTCGACATAGAGAGGTTGTGTACAAGAATATAACCGGTCTCGGGGTGTGCTAAGTCGACATAGAGAGGTTGTGTGCAAGATGATTGTAAACCACGACCCAGGGTGTACTTCGTCGATATAGAGAGGTTGTATACAAGATATTTACATTACTGGTCCAAGTGTGTGCAAGGTTGATATAGAGAGGTTGTGTGCAATATCATTATATAAATGGTCATTAATAGGGTGTGCTAGATCGATATAAGGAAGTTGTGTATAAAATAATTATATAACCGGTCCTATGGTGTGCTTATTGAAACAGAGAGATTGAGCACAAGATAAGTATATATAACTAGTCCTACGGTGTGTTATATCGGTATAAAGAGGCATTGCACAAGATAATTATATGACTGCTCTCGAGGTATGTAGGTCGACATAGAGAGGTTGTGCACAAGATAAGTATATATAACTAGTCCTACGGTGTGTTATATCGGTATAAAGAGGCATTGCACAAGATAATTATATGACTGCTCTCGAGGTATGTAGGTCGACATAGAGAGGTTGTGCACAATATGATTTTGTAACTGGTCCCAGGGTATGCTAGATCGATATATAGAGGTTGTGCACAATATAATTTGATAACTGGTCCCAGGGTATGCTAGATCGATATATAGAGGTTGTGCACAATATAATTTTATAACTGGTCCCAGGGTATGCTAGATCGATATATAGAGGTTGTGCACAATATAATTTGATAACTGGTCCCAGGGTATGCTAGATCGATATAGAGAGACTGATTACAAGAAAATTATATAACTAATCCCATTTTTTTATATCGATAGATAGAGGTTGTGTGAAGGGCGCGAATGGTTGATATGAAAGTTCCATATATGATCCCATGTTGTGATAACGCTGATAGATGAAGATGCTTATAGTTCCGTAATATAGTGACAAAATGTCAAATAACACATGGAGTAGCTGACATTCTCCAGTAAGGTATATCTATACATGTAGTTCTTTGATACATCAACCACATCCATATCTGTGTAATCCTGTCCTTGATACAAGACATGATTATGTTTTATACTATGTGATGCTTATTTACATGTACTATTGTCTCCGTCTGATAGCCATGGAAATATTCATCGTATTTCTAACAGCTGGCTGACAGAGTTATATATTAACTACAGTAACAGATTATCAGTCATATCGACAACGTCAGTGGCACAGATTGATTATTTTCTGTGTACCATGGTCTACAACGGTGTACGTACGTTCTTTAGACATTCAACACATTGTATATTAAAGATGCAAACATTAGACCAATTGTCTGTGTTGTTGGCAACTGCGACTTTCATAAATGTGGTTCAAGTTCCGAATACTAGAAAACACATTAGCGGCTTAATCTCGGATTAATGAAAATTAGGAAGGCGATTTTGCTCTACAATACATTCTTAATCTTTGGTCCATTCAGAATTCAGAGACTAAAAAGAAAAAAAAGTACATTATATCGACAGATAAAGTTGTTTGAAGACTTTAATACGTCTATAGTTGTACGTGTGACACTGAAAGTTGATAACAAAAATAGTAATTAATATAACAAAGTATTTAGGACTCAGTCTATAAAGCTAAACATCATAGTTTTGATATTCCGAATTCCAAAGTCGACATTTTAATGTGAGTGACTCCATGAACTTATCCCCAACCTATGGTGTTTACATGTAGCAATTGATTCGATATTCAGGGAACTGTTCCTATTATGATAATTTCTGTGCAAGAAGTCGTAAACTGAGGGACAATCTTGTAACACGGGGTTTCAAAAAAAATGCAGGTTGATGAGAATTATTGGAAAGGTTTATGGCCGTCATTGTGATCTCATTGTAAAATATTTCTTTGTGTGATATGAAGCTGTACGTATTTGATGCTCGGCAGTTTACCTGCTGGTTCCGTTGTTGTATACCTTGTTCTCATTTGAGAACTTGACTTACATGCCGGGTGTTGTCGACGCTTACTCTTCCGAAACACTTGACCATATTCTCCATGCACGTTTTCGAGAGTCTCGGTGTAAATTTTTCTTTTATTCATATTTTGCCATAGTTTTAATGATGTCCGGTATGGATTATGATTATGTTGACATGTTGCTATTTTCTTGTTGTTCTTTTTAACAATATATAATTCAATGGTGTGTCTCGAACTTAAATATTCACTGACTAAAATCTCATTTTGATGACATGCCGGTTATATGTAAAATGTTTATGTTCTGGGAGCACATGATCGTATTTGTATGTGCATCATCACTTTTATACCTTTATCTTTGAAACATGTTCGTTTAAATTCATGGATAATGCAATATCGTTTTATCCATTCGTACATTGGTATTGGGCAGCCATTTCGGTATTTATCTACATAATGTACCCATTAGATACATTGATATCACTAATTCTTTTATTGACATCCTGAATGAGCTATTAATATCACTAATTAGAATACGTGATATCACTTATCACCACAATAATAGAAACCAATAATTCGAATTGATGACATCATTTACTGAATTATTGATATCAATAATTCCGATTAATGATATCAGCATGAATTCATTTGATCAGGAATTAATTTCACACGATGTAGTGTCTCTTTTCAGCAAAACATCCACAGACAAAGCACTTGGTATCTTTCAGAGCCGTATAGAACAAGACCGGTCATGGCGAAAGAACATGAAACTATAATCTACAACAACATACTTTGCCTTTCGAGATACCATCTATCAGCAACGGTTTGGCACAGCTATGGCAGCCCAGTGTCTCCAATTGTGGCCAGCTTATTCACGTAGCACACGGAGAAAGAAGCTATTGCCACGGCCCCGTATCATGCAAGCCCAGTCTGTGAAATGTTGATTGGAAATAGTTAAAAAAAAGATAACCGAATGATTTGACTGGGCATATCAATACTGTAGATACCACCAACAACATCAAATTCACCTGTAAGGGAAAATATCAATGGCACTTTGCCCATTCCTTGACACCCTCTTGGATGACGGTACTATCAAAGTATTGGTCTATAGTTAAAGAAATTCACATACCAATACCTCAACGTCCGATCGCACCACCCCTTACACCAGAAGGTGGGCGTTGTACGAACCTTGTTCAACAGATGTGAAACGATGGATACCGTAATTGGGCAATCCAGAAAGTTAACAATGAATTTGATAAAATCAATAAGACTACGAGACGAAACGCCAAGGAAAAGAACAAAACGAAAGGGAAAGTCGTATACCCTTACATCTATCAAAACCATTACGAGGATTTACCATGGTCTTGGCATTGCAATAGCTACGAAACCACATTCAGACTCTCCGAAATGTCCTAATCCATCCTAAGGATAAAACACGCGAAGAGGACGTCGCAGAAGGCGTATACAAAATGGATGCAAGTACTGCGACGCATCATATATCAGAATAAACAGATAAGTGATTCCAGGTCCGACTCAATGAACATCAGAAATGTGCTGAATTCCAATAAGGCAAAAAATCACTAGATCGAAAACATTATCAGTCCATGGTCACTAAATCTGCATTCACATATCATTCTGCACAGCAAAACCATATCATTGACTGAGAAAATTCCAAATTAGACAACAGGGAAAACAACCTTTTCAGGTGGTTGGATAAAGAAGCCTCCTGGATACGCCGCAGCGTGCCAGTACTAAACATGGACGAGGGGGACAAAGATTCTGGTACATATATGACCAAGAGTTAAACAAAGCGTAGCCGAATAGACTGCAGTACAATGGTACAATGTGTATTTTTGGTCTATAATCTGTCTACCATCTGGTTACATTATTTTCAACCTTAGCATACAAATGATTATAGTACAGCCGAAAAAGTCGGTCTTCGGATTCCGTACCATTTTGTACATTACGTACTTCAGAGCTAGTACGCTCCACACTGGTCAGGTGACTGTGTAGTCATCGAAACGTCACACTCTGATATTCTACTGGTCGTGTTATAAGAACTATTCTGTTGACATTACTAACCCGAAGAAAATGTTGTTGTTTTTTTTTAAATCAAGAACTTGAATGAATATCACTAAATCGAATTAATGATATCAAAAATTTGGTGTATTTGGTGATATCATTTATTATTCTATTATTAGTTTTTTTTACATCATTTAAATCTATGATATAACTAACTGGAATTATTAACAGACGATTTCAAATAGATACTAAAGCGGCGCCCTTACGTGGTAGGGGAGATAACCTTGTCAATGGATTTTTATATATAGTAGATTGTATCACATTTGATTTCGTTTGGAAATTAGTTTCTTGTTTACACCTGTGAAGAACTGTTGATACATAAACTATATATTAAAAAAACCCACTATAGTCTTGGTTTGCCTAAATTGACTCAAAGATATATATATCAGATATAAGATCCGGCGAGAATTTATCCGGAAACTACTTTCCTCTCCAAGTCCATGTTGATGTCCGTTTGTTTGTTACATGCGCTCATTCAAAACACATGAAAGACAGGGATTGAATGGGGTTTCAGCAGCAGTGTTGCTTCAAACTTTCTAAGATGAAAACCACGAAAATAACTTAATGATAGACAGGTATTCAAGTGTTTGCTTTTGATACTCAAGAAGTCAGACAAAACGAAAAATTTAAAACAGAAATATATACATCTGCATGCATACTTAGAAATAGCTCGTGTTTCCAACCACAGGGCCATGTTATAGCTCTGCTTTAGCCTTTGAATATATGAGTATGACGTTCCAATGCAGAAACAGACTTGATAACACGTTCACTTGTAGGTGTTACTGAACCGACAGTGCACGTATCACGACGTGTTTACATCATTTTAGACGATTTTTTAGGAGACGAGTTCAGTATTCATAACACAGGTTGCCACGGCACAGGGAACATCCTGGGAGGGTGTGATGAGACTCCAACTCGTCTTCTCATTGCAGGAGATTTTTGTCCTTCCAACTGACTCATTGGTGTATCGTTTAAACATTGGTTTCATTACAATGTATTTTGAAGTGGTCATTTTTTACCACACATTATGTCATAAAATACCGACCTTCCTCACTGTGTAACCTTGCACCTGTATGATTTTGATGTGCCACTAACCAGAAGGGTTCTAACGTTCGATCTACAATTAAGATAAAAATAAAGTCGTGGATAGACAGATAGAACATGTATATAAATCCTTCACACTTATGTTACACTTGCGAATAAAACAAAAACTGATGATTTGTTCGCCACACAATATGAGACTTATGTTTTATCTGATAAACTGTGTTATTTCTTTAATGTTAAATGCAAATTAAAATATGTTCATATTGAAATAAGCAAAAGAATATGACTTTGACTAATACTTTTCCCTCTGCTAATGATATCTTTAAGACATCACATCTAAGAAGGTAGCAGACATTTATGCCCAAACTTTGCTTGGGAAAGTGTACAGACGTTCCAGGTCAACCTGTCAAACTGCTTATCATTATTTAAATGACTGTGCAACATGACTCATCTATTCTAAGTCTGCTCCTTTAAATATATATAGATGTAAGAAGATATATGTAAGTTGATCATGAATAATAAGCAATTCCTCCTTGCAATATTTTTGCTATGAAAGTCCAAACATGCACATCTTATATTGGAAAATATTGATTAAAGATTATCATTTTTAATGACATTTTCATCAGAGTTTATCAGTAAGCTGTAGACTGACAGACACAAAAGAATGCTTTGTGGTGTGAAAATAAATGAATTTAGAAATGTCGCTCTTTTGGATAAAAAACACCAAACATTTTCAACTTTAAAAAAACTATTTTCAAAAGGTGACACATACAAACACAGCTACTATTTTTACAACAAGGTGTTATTTTGAAAATTTCTTCATTGAAATGTCATTCCCATTCAAAACGTTGGTTCTATGTATGGTCTGCATCTCTGGGCCTTATTATGATTATTCAAGTGTCTCTCTGCTTTTGTGATGCCACCAGAAAATGAAAGTGCATTAACATTTCTAAAATGCATAACCTCCATTTCAGGTGAGCAAATTTGAGGTGGTATCTGTGGAATATCTTTTCGTAAATATTGGTCATTCACTAATCAGTTTATTGAATAAATTGTATAATGTTTTTGTTTGGTTGCAGTTCATTTGTGTAGCTTTCAAGATGCAAATCTTAAAAGGGTTGGAAACTGATGTTCCAAGGATGCAGGTAAGTCATGAAATAAATGCTTTTTAAAACTAACCACTTAAAATGACACATATATATAATGAAAATAACAAATGTACATTTAGCAATAGTATGTTTTATTGATTACTATTCAATAAACCATACAATACATAGGGTAACCCAATCAACAGTCACAGTGAAATCATGCGAAAATAACTATATAAGTGAAAATACTTTTAAAATGTGCTCACCTGTGTTTTTCTGATGATCAATGTTATCAATGACAAGATTGAATAGTGGAAAAGTCTGTCAGTTTGTACAAAAATTAGACAAAATATTTTCAAACTTTTCATTTGCAATGTAACATATGGTTTACCCCCGGTAGATATCTCACCCTGTGAATGAAAACATAATGCTTTGCCAGGTTACTTTTAAAGAGCAGTTATTTATGACTTGCTTGAAAACAATATAAAGACAAAGTTCACAGGAGAAAAGTCCTCTGTAATGAGAAGACACAGATAAGTCTTGGTGCATCCTCTTAAATACAAGGATCTCCCAACCTTCAGTAATGACGCCCTATGTTGTATACAATTTGTATCTCTCATAGTCTTAATTATTCTGATGTCTACTCAACTTTTCTTTTTTTGTTTGGAATCAATTAACTCAAGGCCAGTAAATAAAAGTTGAGAGCACATAGAATAATTTGGATTAAAGCTCTCTAAAGGTCTAGGAGTGTTGTAAACATGTAGCTTTTCAGTCCTGTCACACTTGTCATTATACATCTGTTACATATTCAAATCACTTGTCCAACAATAGGTGAAAATTAACTTATCGGAAATTAGAAATTAATTAAAAAAAAAAAATGTAAAATAATTTTTTGATTTTTCTGATTTAGTTACTTCTAGTAACAATTAATGAATGAAAAAGCATAATTTCTGCTTCATATTTAATATTTAAAATTCAATAATATTCTCTCTAAAATAAATGAAAATGAATAATAGTATGTAAAAATACTGTTTTCTGTACAGAAGTAAGAGTAATCCTTTCAGTATCTCATCAAGTTAAAGGAAGGGAAGTAGGCTAATGTATTCATATCTTACAAACTTGCATTGTGTGTTATATAAAAAAACTACACCGGGGAGCTGTAGGCACACTATGCTCTTGTTAAATTGGAAAATCAGTATGGTTTGATAAGAATCCTTTATTCAAAAAGAAAAATTTGAAGAAAAAAAGGATACGAAAAATAGGATAATCAATACTGATGATATTTGTTGCTCAAATTTTATCTCATTTTCATTTAATAAAGCTTTAAATTGTATTGCATGAATGATTATATATAAATTATATTTATATTTAAATGAATGAGTATATAAAATGATTATGAAATATAATTTTGAATCTACATATTGTTTTCTGTATTTCAGGAAATTCTACTTGCATTAAAGCCATAACTGGTATTGCAGTATGGAAGAGAGAGTTTTTCCTGTGGAGATCGAGGTGCCAGGCTTCCAGTGTGGGTTGATGGAAACCCTGTATGGACTATGGCAAAGAGGTCAGCTGTGTGATGCTGTGATACATACAAGCAATGGTAGTGTAGAGGCTCACAGAGCAGTGCTGTGTGCTGCAAGTCCGTACTTACATAATATGGAGGTGAGTGACAGACAGCAGTTCAGAGTGTCACACTACCACCTACAAGTTGGGAGGCTAGAGGATGTTACTGTCATACTCAGGTTGTTCTACACAGGAAAGTTTGCTGTTTCATCAGAAAATGTTGAGAACCTAATGCAGCTTTGTTTGTTTCTACAAGTAGGAGAGGCTGTGAAAGTATGCCAGAGATTCTTTAATGGATGGCATTCTCAGAAAGGACAAACTACTAGAAACTTACCTGAAAGTTTGTTTTTACTAGAAAATAAACTTGGTCTAAGAGATGGATCACCAAATATTCCTGTAGGTGTCAGCATCCAAGGGTACTCCCAGCTACCCAATACAAGTCCCCATAACAGTCCTGGTACAGAAAGTGTGCAGCAAGATCAACTGAATGTTCATACAGATCAACACTACACACATGTTGACAGAAATCAACAGGCAGCTGTAGATATGAGCAATGCATATGATGTTCACATGTGTGTTTCTCGGGAAAATCATATTTCATGTGACAGTACTCGTCATGAAGGTCAAAGGTCACCTGTAACTATCTCTTCTCAAGAGTTAACATTTCTGCAGAAAGTTAGGAGATCAGACCCTGATGATTCTCTTGATGGACAAAGATCAATGCAAATTCCAAATGACTGTGATGAAGACACTGAGAAATTGGCTTCTTGTCTGTTAGCAAATGATGTTGACAATTTGTCAAATTCATCAACTTCAGATACACAAGGGTTTGTAAATTCATCTTTAAGTGAAGATGTGACAAAGAAAGAAGGAGAAACAAAAAGAAGTCAGTCATCGCCCAATATCAACACTTCACCATTAAGCCCTGAAGTAGATGATTCTTACTCTAAGTTTAATTCTGATAACCTCACATCACATCAGCAGTGGCCTATTAATTGTAGAGATGGCAATGAGAAAGTTCAAAATAGAAGCAGTTTTTCCCAGCACAAAAAACTTTGCCATTCAAAATCATCAACATTTGACTCCTCCAAATCATTAAGTACAAATGATGAGCTAGGAAGTTCCTTAGAATGTAATGAGGATAATGTAAGTACCTTGTGTACTGATTCTGGAAATACTATCAAAAAAATGGAAAAGACAATTGAAAGCAAAACTATAAACACATGTTCTCTTCGTTCGAATTTGAGATCTAAACATGGAAGTGAAAATTTGAAAAGCAACAAACATGCAAAGAAACAAAAATTAGGACCAACTTCAGATGGAAAGAACCAAGAGAAAGTTGATACCAGTAAACCTAAGGTACAGCGTGTTAAAGGTAGGGATCCTGTAAATATTGCAACTAGAACTAAGACAAAAAGAGGCAGCAAAGACACCAAAAAGCAGGCACAGGCAAATGTGATATGTACCTTATGTAAGTTGGTGTTTACTTCAAAAATGGAGCGTGCCAAACACAAGCGCGAGGTTCACAAATTAAAACCTGATGGTTATAAGTGTGCCGTCTGTAAAGGCACATTCTCCACCCTACATCAACTTAAGACCCACAAAGAACAAGCCCATCCAGAGAAGATCAGGTGCTTTAAATGTGATGGTCACCCCTCTTTCTCTACAGTTAGTGAGCTTGAAAATCATCGTAGGAACCAGCATGTAAGAGATCAGACTATTATATGTAGAATCTGCAGAGAAACATTTGCAACAAGAGATGCTAAAAATGATCATGTAAAAAAGGTTCACCCTTATGGAAAGAACTGTCCTGAGTGTAATACAAAGTTTGATAACTGGAAACATCTGGTTGACCACAGAAACCACAAACACAATGTTCCCTTTGAGGCGAACAAATATGAAATCTTTTCTTGTGATATAGAGGTAAGTTGTAACTGTTATCTGAACTGCTATTTAGCTTTCATTTAAGATAAAGAAAACGAATCTGTGTTTTACTAGAGTATGATAGATCCTAGATCTGTACAAACATTTTTACTAATAGTACTTTGTGATTTTACTGATGGTGAATGCAAAATTCTAAGGTTAATTTACATAGATAAACATTGTGGGATATCCTTAGTATGTGGGATAATCTCTGTATAGTGATTACCCTGTGTATAATGATAGCCCTCTATATAGTGTGAATCCTCTGTATGTATGGTAAACTATGTATAGTGATGATCCATTGCATACAGTGAACATCCCCAGTATGTAGTGCTAATATTATGTATGTAGTGCTAATTTTCTGTTTACATTGATAATTCTCTGTATTTGATGATAATCCTTTGTATACACTGATAAGCCACTACATTCAGTGATATCTCTTGTATACAGTAATAATCCCCTATAAAGAGAGATACTCCACTGTATAGTGATAGTTCTCCATATTTATGATATTGATTTTCATGAAAAAAAGCCAATATGGGTTTTAAAGTTAACATGATGAACCTTTGATTATGATGAAATTAACATATACATTTAACAGAATTGTGACTACCAGACAGTGGATAAATATCGGTATTTATGCCACAAGCGGGATGTCCACTGCTGTGATCGGAGTCATACTTGCCTCACATGTAACTCCACTTTTAAAAGCAAGCGTGCTCTAAAGTCTCATCAGGAGGTGCACCTTGACCGTGACCAAAGGAATGGCTCTCAGTGTGATCAGTGTGGCAAGAAGTTCCTCTCTGTTACTTACCTCAAGGTAGATAACTCTACCCCCATTGGACTACAGTATGCTAGTACTAATTTTAAAGTTAAAATGTAGACAACACTACCTTCATTGTATTATAAACTGCCTTGTCCAATGTTTAACTTATCGCGGGAATGACTATTTATATTCTGATTTGTATTATATTATAATTATTTTTTTAACCCCTCATATTTCCCTGAACTATGTATAGAACTACTGTACATCTCTTTGATTATTTTGAACACATTAGATACTTGTAGTTATCATCACAGAGCCTTACTTACAGACTCACATTGACACCATGCACAGCGAGGAGAAGAAACCTATAAAGAAGCAGTTCCTGTGTCACCTTTGTCCGAACAGCTTCAGGGACAAACATTTCTTCCACAGTCACATGTTACGAGCACATGAGGTGGCTCCCCCTGCTGACCTGAAATTGTATGTAGCTACTAAATATGTACCATTTAATCTGTATTGAATTTGTCTTTACTTGGTTAATCTGTGCCTGTTAATATATGCCAGTCAATCTGTTCTGAATTTGTCTCCACTTGGTTAATCTGTGCCTGTTAATATATACCAGTTAATCTGTTCTAAATTTGTCTCTACTTCGTTAATCTGTGGATGTTATTATATACCCGTTAATCTGTACTGAATTTGTCTCCACTTGGTTAATCTGTGGCTGTTAATATATACCCGTTAATCTGTTCTGAATCTCTCACCACTTGGTTAATCTGTGCCTTTTAATATATACCAGTTAATCTGTTCTAAATTTGTCTCCACTTGGTCAGTCTGTACCTGGTTATATATACTAGTAAATCTGTACTGAATTTGTCTTCACTTGGTCAGTCTGTACCTGGTTATATATACTAGTAAATCTGTACTGAATTTGTCTCCACTTGGTCAGTCTGTACCTGGTTATATATACTAGTAAATCTGTACTGAATTTGTCTCCACTTGGTTAGTCTGTATCTGGTTATATATACTAGTAAATCTGTACTGAATTTGTCTTCACTTGGTTAGTCTGTATCTGGTTATATATACTAGTAAATCTGTACTGAATTTGTCTCCACTTGGTTAGTCTGTATCTGGTTATATATACTAGTAAATCTGTACTGAATTTGTCTTCACTTGGTTAGTCTGTACCTGGTTATATCTACTAGTTAATCTGTACTGAATTTGTCTTCACTTGGTTAGTCTGTATCTGGTTATATATACTAGTAAATCTGTACTGAATTTGTCTCCACTTGGTCAGTCTGTACCTGGTTATATCTACTAGTAAATCTGTACTGAATTTGTCTCCACTTGGTTAGTCTGTAGTCTGTTAACTTGTAACAAATTATGTACAGGATATTATAGATGATAGTATTTATATACTAAGTGTGTGCACAGTTAGTCTGACCTAGTTAGTCTACACTTTGTCTTATTCAAGGTTTTTTTTTCTGCAGTAGACAAAACTGACCAGGTTTTCCTCCATCATGTTAGTCTTGTCCAGTCAATATACACCCAGATAGTTTTACACAGTTCATTTATACTCAGATATTATTGTGTACCCAATTAGTTTGTACTCAGTTAACTGTTCCCAATTAGTATGTACCCAGTTCATTTATAATCAGTTTACTGTTCCCAATTAGTGTGTACCCAGTGCATTCATACCCAAAGTGTGTACCCAGATAAGATACCCAGTCTGTCTCTACCCATTGATTCTTTATCTTTATCCTGTTTTCACAGTGACACTGTATACAGCTTTGGGGCTGCAATAGCTCAGTTGGTAAAACATTGGCCTATGTATCCTCAGTTGAAGATCTAAGGTGTGGAGTTCAGTGCTTCCATGGTGGTTTTTGTATCTTAGGAAGCTGAAAAACAGACTGGTCTATGCTAGCATGGTTGTGTCCTTATGCAAGACTCGTACCTCAATTGCTCTGGATATGTATCCAGTTAGTCTGTAACCTTGCTGATCTGTACTTAGTCTGTATCCAGATATTCTGTACCCAGTCAGGCTGTCCCTAGTTAACCTGTACCTACTTAATCTATACCCAGTTAGTCTGTAACCTTGCTGATCTGTACTTAGTCTGTATCCAGATATTCTGTACCCAGTTAGGCTGTCCCTAGTTAACCTGTACCTACTTAATCTATACCCAGTTAGTCTGTAACCTTGCTGATCTGTACTTAGTCTGTATCCAGATATTCTGTGTAGGCTCCCTAGTTAACCTGTACCTACTTAATCTATACCCAGTTAGTCTGTAACCTTGCTGATCTGTACTTAGTCTGTATCCAGATATTCTGTACCCAGTCAGGCTGTCCCTAGTTAACCTGTACCTACTTAATCTATACCCAGTTAGTCTGTAACCGTGTTGATCTGTACTTAGTCTGTATCCAGATATTCTGTACCCAGTTAGGCTGTCCCTAGTTAACCTGTACCTACTTAATCTATACCCAGTTAGTCTGTAACCTTGTTGATCTGTACTTAGTCTGTATCCAGATATTCTGTACCCAGTTAGGCTGTCCCTAGTTAACCTGTACCTACTTAATCTATACCCAGTTAGTCTGTAACCTTGTTGATCTGTACTTAGTCTGTATCCAGATATTCTGTACCCAGTTAGGCTGTCCCTAGTTAACCTGTACCTACTTAATCTATACCCAGTTAGTCTGTAACCTTGTTGATCTGTACTTAGTCTGTATCCAGATATTCTGTACCCAGTTAGGCTGTCCCTAGTTAACCTGTACCTACTTCATCTATACCCAGTTTGTCTGTAACCTTGTTGATCTGTACTTAGTCTGTATCCAGATCTGTAACCTTGTTACCCAGATCTGTACCTTGTTGATCTGTAGTCTGTATCCAGATATTCTGTACCCAGTTAGTCTGTCCCTAGTTAACCTGTACCTACTTAATCTATACCCAGTTAGTCTGTAACCTTGTTGATCTGTACTTAGTCTGTATCCAGATATTCTGTACCCAGTTAGTCTGTCCCTAGTTAACCTGTACCTACTTAATCTATACCCAGTTAGTCTGTAACCTTGTTGATCTGTACTTAGTCTGTATCCAGATATTCTGTACCCAGTTAGTCTGTCCCTAGTTAACCTGTACCTACTTAATCTATACCCAGTTAGTCTGTAACCTTGTTGATCTGTACTTAGTCTGTATCCAGATATTCTGTACCCAGTTAGTCTGTCCCTAGTTAACCTGTACCTACTTCATCTATACCCAGTTTGTCTGTAACCTTGTTGATCTGTACTTAGTCTGTATCCAGATATTCTGTACCCAGTTAGTACCTACTTAATCTGTAACCCCTAGTTAACCTGTACCCAGTTACTTAACCTGTACCTACTTAATCTATACCCAGTTAGTCTGTAACCTTGTTGATCTGTACTAAATCTGTACTTAGTCTGTATCCAGATATTCTGTACCCAGTTAGTCTGTCCCTAGTTAACCTGTACCTACTTAATCTATACCCAGTTAGTCTGTAACCTTGTTGATCTGTACTGTATCCAAATTCTGTACCCAGTTAGTCTGTATCCAGATATTCTATACCCAGTTAGTCTGTCCCTAGTTAACCTGTACCTACTTAATCTATACCCTAGTTAACCTGTACCTACTTAATCTATACCCAGTTAGTCTGTAACCTTGTTGATCTGTACTTAGTCTGTATCCAGATATTCTGTACCCAGTTAGTCTGTCCCTAGTTAACCTGTACCTACTTAATCTATACCCAGTTAGTCTGTAACCTTGTTGATCTGTACTTAGTCTGTATCCAGATATTCTGTACCCAGTTAGTCTGTCCCTAGTTAACCTGTACCTACTTAATCTATACCCGGTTAGTCTGTACCCTGTTGATCTGTACTCAGTCTGTATCCAGTTAATGTGTCCTAGTTAATTTGTACCTCATTGGTCTGTACTTAGACACTCTATACCCAGTTATTCTATGCTAATATCTAATAATTCAATGTTAACCCAATTTGTACTGATTTAGTACCTAGATTTACCAATACCATCTGTTTTTTTCAGGCACAGGTGTACACACTGTGATTTTTTTACTGTTCAGAAATCACATTTGAGAAAGCATATGAGGCACCATTCTACAGGTAATAACACACTAAAAATGATTAACTACAGTATAAATACTTTAGTACCATAAATAGTGTTACTGAATTTGAAATACCTATCTACTATCTGCTCTGTAGGGTCACAAGACATGATACAGCTGAAAGTATAATACATATCTACCATCAGCTCTGTAGGGTCACAGAATATGATACAGCTGAGAGTATGATACCTGACTACCATCAGCTCTGTAGGGTCACAGGATATGATACAGCTGAGAGTATGATACCTACAGGCTGTCCAGCGTCCCTAAAATTCCTAAAAAATCCTAATTTCTTTCAGTTTTGCTAAAATTCCTAAAAAAATGAAAAATTCAAAGGGAATTCCTAAAAAAGCCCCAATTTTTCACTTCAGTTCCTACTTTTTTTTATATTTCTTTCAATTTACTGAAAATACTTAAAATGTGTTTTAATGTAGTCTGTAGTTCTAATTTAGGGTAGACAATGAAAGGAAGTTGACCAGTGGATCTATGTACCCAGATTGTTATTGGTTGTGACTGAGTGACAGAGGTGTGATTCTTAAGGTCACAGCCAACAGCAGCTGGGACACTGAAACCCTGGAAGACACCTTTCCTGCAATTAAGGCATTGTATGTTAGTTTCTATTTTGTCAAATTTGCAAAGGTAAGTCAGTTTAATGCTTTCATACTCCCTATTCTAGTTATAAAATTCCTAATTTTAGCCCTAAATTTGCCCTAAAATTTGTAATTTTAGCCCTAAATCTAGCCTAAATTTTTTGTCAAGAAGTGCTGGACAGCTTGTACCTAACTACCAACAGCTCTGTAGTGTCACAGGATATGATGCAGATTCCAATTTTTTTTTATCATTCTTAGGAATTGAGAAAATCAGACCTTTTGTGTTAATGATTCATTGAATTTTTTTTATTTCAGAAGCAAAAGAATATGAATGTAACTCTTGTGGAAAGAAGTTTTTGACAGAAGATTGTTTGGGAAGACATATACAGAGACACCGTATGTATAAAGCAACATTTTACTGAAAAATCTTTTCCAGCTGAGGGTTATAAGTAGCCTATGTAATGACTGGGATAGAAATGCAATCATTTGACCTCATTCATATCATGTTTTGGAGTTCAATAAAAAAAGTTTGATAAGAGGGGATTTGTCCAAAATGGTTTGATCTTAAATTAGTATTGATGTAGTATCAAATTATCTAATTAGGTTATTAAATTCCATATTACATGGACTCAAGTGTAAGATTATATGTATTACATTTTTGCTGGTGCTCTCTCTCTGTCTCTCTCTGTCTCTCTCTGTCTGTCTGTCTGTCTGTCTCTCTCTCTCTCTCTCTCTCTCTCTCTCTCTCTTTTTCTTGAAAATGTATACTGTCTAGTTTGACATGACATTACTTGTATGTTCAAATGTATGTTCACACTTTTATTGAATGTGCATTAGAAAATTATTTGTTCAAAACATCATCTACAATGTACTCCTAAAAGAGTAATTGTATTTTTGTTCTCTTTTTTTTTCAGAAATGAAAGATGAGTTCTGTCCTATACCAGGATGTGGATATTCCACCAAGTACAAAAGTAATCTTAAAAACCATGTGGCACGTATCCACACTCAAAAGGTACCGACATTTTACTATATACTCCACATCTTAATGTCCATCAGTAATCAGGTCAGGATGTTGTATCATATGGAAATGAGACCAAAGTTCCTAAATTCATTGTATCTAAACAGAGATCAAGATATTTCAATCATAGATGAAGTGCTATTTTGAAGTACGAATCAGATTACCACTGAAATGTATTGTTGAAAGTGTTTTCTGTAGGTTTTGTGGGATGAAATCCTCAAAGTATTTGTAACACAAGACAAAATTTATTTTATTTATTGGAAAAAGTACAAGTAAATCAGTAGTTATCCATTGATAACAAGGCGAAAGGGAATTAATTTATCAGGTAAGAAATCTAGCTTCTGAAAATAAAGACAATATTTAAATGTCCCACCACTATTCAAATAATCTGGACTTCTGTGATTGTGTAAGTTTTGTACTCGAGTTCTATCTCATTGTTAGAGCATTAGATAGTTCTAAATATATTGATAAGTAATAGAGGTCAGTGTTTATTCCACTGCCTCCTCTAGCTGTATTCTAGTCTGATGCTCATCTTCACCTGAAAAAGGGTTACACACTGAACCCCCTCCAGGAATGGAAAGAACTTGTCAAATTCTTTCCATGGGTAACAGCGATGGTTATAAAACAAGGGCTAAGCATTGGTCAATATTTCTCTGAGTCCTGATGTGAAAGCCAATGTAACAGAGGATATGATCTATTACAATGCCTCCAATATCAGTATTCATGACGCTAAGTTTACCAAGATTGTCCTGATTGTGTAGGTAGAATATAATCTGTTGATCTGCGTACATATAGTTGTGTATTGTTTCCTCTACAGGATCTGAAACCGTTCCTTTGTCCCTACTGTGACTACAGATGTAAAGAGAAAGGCAACCTCAACAAACATATCACAGGCAAGCACAAGATGGAGGTTGTCACCGTGGCTAAGCTAAGGAAGAATGCCATTAAAACAGGCACAGGCTATCCTAACTTTGTCACCATGTCGCAGTCTAACACTGCTGCATCCTACTCAGAGGAGGAAAATATGGAAAGTCAAGTAAACATGGCAATGACTATGTCTGCCTCCTACAATCAGTATCAACTTGACTATAACATGCAGGTTTACAATGGTGTCACGTGACACAGTGTTCAGATGTACAATGCTGCCATGTGACACAGTGTATAGACCTACAATGGTGCCATGTGACACAGTGTACAGGTTTACAATAGCACAAAGTGACACAGTGTACAGATCTACCATGGTGCCATGTGACACAGTGTACAGGTTACAATAGTGCCATGTGACACAGTGTACAGGTTTACAATAGTACCATGTGACACAGTGTACAGGTTACAATAGTACCATGTGACACAGTGTACAGGTTACAATAGTACCATGTGACACAGTGTACAGGTAACAATAGTGCCATGTGACACAGTGTACAGGTTTACAATGGTGCCATATGACACAGTGTACAGGTTACAATAGTACCATGTGACACAGTGTACAGGTAACAATAGTGCCATGTGACACAGTGTACAGATCTACCATGGTGCCATGTGACACAGTGTACAGGTAACAATAGTGCCATGTGACACAGTGTACAGGTAACAATAGTGCCATATGACATAGTGTACAGGTTACAATAGTACCATGTGACACAGTGTACAGGTTTACAATAGTACCATGTGACACAGTGTACAGATCTACCATGGTGCCATGTGACACAGTGTACAGGTTACAATAGTGCCATGTGACACAGTGTACAGGTCTACAGTAGTGCTATGTGACACAGTGTACAGGTAACAATGGTTCCATATGACAAAGTGTACAGGTTACAATAGTACCATGTGACACAGCGTCCAGGTCTACAATAGTACCATGTGACAGTGTACAGGTTATAATAGTACCATGTGACATAGTGTACAGGTTACAATGGTGCCATGTGATACAGTGTACAGGTTACAATGGTGCCATGTGACACAGGGTACAGATCTACAATGGTGCCTTATGACACAGTGTACAGGTTACAATGGTGCCATGTGACATAGTGTACAGGTCTACAATAGTGCCATATGACACAGCGTCCAGGTCTACAAGAGTACCATGTGACAGTGTACAGGTTATAATAGTAACATGTGACATAGTGTACAGGTTACAATGGTGCCATGTGATACAGTGTACAGGTTACAATGGTGCCATGTGACACAGGGTACAGATCTACAATGGTGCCATGTGACACAGTGTACAGATCTACAATAGTACCATGTGACACAGTGTACAGCTCTACAATGGTGCCATTTGACACAGTGTACAGATCTACAATAGTGACATGTGACAGCGTACAGATGACAATGGTGCCATGTGACACAGTGTATAGGTCTACAATAGTACCATGTGACACAGTGTACTGGTCTTGAATAGATCTCGAGGCCCCTCTCTAATATATTTGTATTCGTTTCCATGTATCTGAAGCCAGCTTCTTCACAAGACAAATAGTGAAAATGTAACATGTTTTTACTATATGTCTATACATATGTATCTCAGGAAAACTGTATTTGCAGCCATTCTAGTCAAATTCCTTGTGTCAAAATATATCTTAACCTGTAATATCATTATGAACAGATGCATAAGAAGCATTTTGTTTTTTATGCTACCCGAAGGAAGATATGTATTGAGAAAATAAAACGCACAAAAACCTTACCTATTTTCAATAGCTTAAACATCTGTGTGTATGTTTGGCTATCTTGTATTAGAGAGGTACATGTATATAAAACATGTTACCTATATATATATCTCTGCTTGTATATAAGTATGTACCAATTTCTTGTCATATGTATGTCCAGGTACTTAATTTTTTATTGAATTGCTAGATAATCGACAGAACATTTATAGATTAAAAGCCTTTTTACAGCTTGACAATATCAGACTATAGTGTGAGGTCATTACTATTTGTGGGGGGGTTATTTTTCACATTGTTTTTTGTTGGTACCCTTAATCCATGAATTCATATGTCCATGAACTGTTGTAAGTTAAGGACATTTATTGAACTATATTTATCCATGAAATCAAATTTTCATGAAAAAGTGATTTCTTTGAAAAATAATGAAAATTGTGCTTTACGAATATACATGTATATGATTTTACAGTACTTTGGTGTTTATGCAATTACTCAGCACTGCGTGATACTTGGGCAATAATGAATGAAAGCAATTGTTTTATATGTCATTATCAGTGGTCATGTCTTTAAGCAATTTATTTCTGACAGTTATTTTAGGGGTCATGCCTGTATTCATCACTATGTCTAGTGCTTTATATTTAATGTTTTATTGATATTACTGTTATAAAAGTTGTAACATGACACAGAATTAAACATAATATATACATGCTTACCATAATTTGCCTTTATATACATTTTACCTGTTATTAAATTGAAATATTACTGTTGTCATAATACACAATGGCAGAAATGATTTTTAACAGGTTTTGGTCATTGAATTTAATATTTATAAGAACTTGCACAAAATAAAGGTACTTTGAAGTAAACACTGTGTTTATTCTGTCTCTGTCCACCAGCAATTTCTTTTGTATACACAATTCATGTAAGTACTTCAAAATCTTTTTATCACATCACTGCTATGTGAACAAATATTCTGTCTTACTGTGTGTTTGTGACTTACTTTGACTAGGGTACTAACACTACTTATTGTGTTTGTGACTTACTTTGACAAGGTTAATTACACTACCTGGTGTGTTTGTGACTTACTTTGACGAGGGTACTCACACTACCTAGTGTGTTTGTGACTTACTTTGACAAGGTTAATTACACTACCTGGTGTGTTTGTGACTTACTTTGACGAGGGTACTCACACTACCTAGTGTGTTTGTGACTTACTTTGACTAGGGTACTCACACTACCTGGTGTGTTTGTGACTTACTTTGACTAAGGTACTCACACCACCTAGTGTGTTTGTGACTTACTTTGACTAGGGTACTCACACTACCTAGTGTGTTTGTGACTTACTTTGACTAGGGTACTCACACTACCTAGTGTGTTTGTGACTTACTTTGACTAAGGTACTCACACTACCTAGTGTGTTTGTGACTTACCTAGTGTGTTTGTGACTTACTTTGACTAAGGTACTCACACTACCTAGTGTGTTTGTGACTTACTTTGACTAGGGTACTCACACTACCTAGTGTGTTTGTGACTTACTTTGACTAAGGTACTCGCACCACCTAGTGTGTTTGTGACTTACTTTGACGAGGGTACTCACACTACCTAGTGTGTTTGTGACTTACTTTGACTAGGGTACTCACATTACCTAGTGTGTTTGTGACTTACTTTGACTAGGGTACTAACACTACCTAGTGTGTTGTGACTTACTTTGACGAGGGTACTGACACTACCTGGTGCGTTTGTGACTTACTTTGACTAGGGTACTCACACTACCTGGTGTTATTGTGACTTACTTTGACTAAGGTACTCACACTACCTAGTGTGTTTGTGACTTACTTTGACTAAGGTACTCACACTACCTAGTGTATTTGTGACTTACTTTGACTAAGGTACTCACACTACCTAGTGTGTTTGTGACTTACTTTGACTAAGGTACTCACACTACCTAGTGTGTTTGTGACTTACTTTGACTAAGGTACTCACACTACCTAGTGTGTTTGTGACTTACTTTGACTAAGGTACTCACACTACCTGGTGTTATTGTGACTTACTTTGACTAAGGTACTCACACTACCTAGTGTGTTTGTGACTTACTTTGACTAGGGTAATCACACTACCTATTGTGTTTGTGACTTACTTTGACTAGGGTACTCACACTACCTAGTGTGTTTGTGACTTACTTTGACTAGGGTACTCACACTACCTAGTGTGTTTGTGACTTACTTTGACTGCTGTGTAACAAATGCCAAGAATAAGATACATTTACTCTATTTAAGACAGTGTGATCTAATTATCACCTGTAATGAGGACCTCTGGGATATACACTAACATTAAGCCTATATATGTCAATATGACCTTACGATCAGGTATTATGATGACCTCTGGGATATACACTAACATTAACCTTAATCTTACTATCAGGTGTAATAGTGACCTGTTGGAAGCTTACTATCAGGTGTAATAGTGACCTGTTGGAAGCTTACTATCAGGTGTAATAGTGACCTGTTGGAAGCTTACTATCAGGTGTAATAGTGACATGTTTGAAGCTTACTATCAGGTGTAATAGTGACCTGTTGGAAGCTTACTATCAGGTGTAATAGTGACCTGTTGGAAGCTTACTATCAGGTGTAATAGTGACCTGTTGGAAGCTTACTATCAGGTGTAATAGTGACCTGTTGGAAGCTTACTATCAGGTGTAATAGTGACCTGTTGGAAGCTTACTATCAGGTGTAATAGTGACCTGTTGGAAGCTTACTATCAGGTGTAATAGTGACCTGTTGGAAGCTTAATATAAGGTGTAATAGTGACCTGTTGGAAGCTTACTATCAGACGTAATAGTGACCTGTTGGAAGCTTACTATCAGGTGTAATAGTGACCTGTTGGAAGCACCATGTAATAACTTCAGTATCAGTAAAATATGGGTAATCGTGTCCGAAATTACTGTATCCCTTCTAACTAGTACGCAAAGGAGATACAGCCACTGTGTTCCTGCAACTTTGGCTCTTGGTAAACCACAAGAAAGTCTCTCTGACCTACTTCCAGATGTAATGTAAATGTTAACCTTATCAAAACACAAACTTCCAACTTAGGTTACTGCTTGACTGCAGCTGAAACCAATTCATACAAAAAGCTGATGTTAGAAGGATAGTGTTAGGGCACCAATCTATCAAAAAACGTACATAAGACTTTAATTCTCCATAATATTTTAATGGTGTAAACTGACATTCATACAAAACAGAGACCTACAACAAAGTATAAAATATAACTGTTTTATATCTGAACAGGAAATATGTCTTTAACATCCAATATGTTGTGAATATTTAAACAGAATATTCAAGTATCATAATCTTTGTTTACAATCTTACACAACATACCATTTTCTTTATGAACCAGGATAGATTTTTGGTTTTCAAACAATGTATAAAAAATTGATAAGACATAAAACATTGTCAAACTACCTTGACCATCCATGGTGATGTTTGCTAGTCATTACATCACAAGTGTTACAATCAGAAGTGAGATTCCTTATACAGATCGAATGGGACCAATGTGGATCCATTACTGCAGCCCACAATTTTATAATGCATCAATGATTCTATTGATAAAATTTCAAAATTTTCAAATAAATTCTGTGCTTTAAATTGACCTGTTACTCTTCATTGGTGTTATCATATTTTCATTTAAAACCTTTGCTTAAATGTTCATTGAGTAATTTGTACAAAAATATCTGAAACATCAATGATTTGAAATCTATAAACCAACTGGATATTCTGGTCCACTGTTCAGGTATCAGCTTACAAACCCTTGAGCACACTGAGGAATAAGTGCTCCCACATTCCACCAGGTACAATGACCAGAAACCACAATAATATTTTTGTGTATTTATCAGTTTACATCTGTACCACTGTGATGTAGTTGTTACCATGGTCGCAATTTAAAAACATTAAAAAAGAAAATTGTAAAAAAATTCATATATTCACTCCCATTATCATTCCACCTTGCAAACCATACTTACTCCCTTAAAGCAATCATATAAACAGATGAATGTGTAAATTGTGTAGTTGTGACTTAGGTAAAAGTATGTATTATCTCCATCAATGTTAAAAATAAAATGCAAAATATATATCTAAAAAAAAAAGTAAAACATTTAAAAATGAAACTTAATTTGCAAGAAGCGGAATGATGAACATAGTCTGGAGGTATTTAAGATGACGATAATTACAACACATATACAGCATGCTACAAAACTTAGCATTCTATCACATCAGTTCTATAGTAGAATGAAATAAAGTATGAAAGTTTGTTGAAACGTTTTTACTGCATACAAGAGGGTTAGGCTGCTACATGTACATGACTATAGGATAGTTGTACAAAGTGTTACATAAATATAAGAGAGTCAGACAAAGTGTTACATGTACATAAGAGAGTTAGACAAAGTGTTACACAAATATAAGAGAGTCAGACAAAGTGTTGCATGTACCTAAGAGTTGGACAAAGTGTTACATCTATAAAGGAGAGTCAGACAAAGTGTTACATGTACCTAAGAGAGTCAGACAAAGTGTTACATGTACCTAAGAGAGTCAGACAAAGTGTTACATGTACCTAAGAGAGTCAGACAAAGTGTTTCATGTACCTAAGAGAGTCAGACAAAGTGTTACATGTACCTAAGAGAGTCAGACAAAGTGTTACATGTACCTAAGAGAGCCAGACAAAGTGTTACATGTACCTAAGAGAGTCAGACAAAGTGTTTCATGTACCTAAGAGAGTCAGACAAAGTGTTACATGTACATAAGAGAGTCAGACAAAGTGTTACATGTACCTAAGAAAGTCAGACAAAGTGTTTCATGTACCTAAGAGAGTCAGACAAAGTGTTACATGTACATTAGAGTGTCACAGGTTACATATAGATATTCTCTACTTTGTAAAGGTGGATAGGTAAAAATTTTACTTATCTATACTTATGTACTGATTATACAACAACTGTTTGTTGTACATACATCTTAATGATTTTTAGCATATAATAGAATAATAATCAACACAAAACTACCTATTTAGAACCATATATAGAGACATCAACAATCTTGCACAATTGCCCTCAGCCATACTGCTATACTTGATCTATGATTGGAAATAACTTATCCACAGTTCTTCAATCTTTTAAATAACTTTTAATTATCTATTTTACCATTGCCATTTCCATGAAACAATTTATGAAGTGAAATATTACTTTCACCTTTATCGGAATTATACTATTTCACATAAAGGTGATTTTTGTATAAAATTATCAAAGAGTGATGAATCATTTTACAGAATCAGACACTCACAAAAAATATTCATTTTTGAGAAACAGATCCAAAGAAGAAAAAAATTCTAGAATGAAAAGCATTGTAAACTTAAGATAAAGAGTTAAGAGTAAATAAACTATCTTGCTCACAGGTAACATACATGAACTATTGGGATTTTAGTGAAAAGAAAATAAGAACTTTCCGATAAAGTAGATCATTATAAAATACTGTGGGTGTTATATTAGGTAATATATTTGAAAAAGTTGTATAGAAATTTTGATAAATGCCTAGTAGACAATCTAATGTTATCTCTGACAAAAGTTTATGAGGATAAAACTGGCAATGATGGACATGGCAGCGATCCCAGAGGATGGACTGTAGAATGGAGCCTTGGCGCTGCAGGGAACAGCTAGCTGACTGTTGGAGCGTATCACATTATATGGTTGTTGCTCAGGTGGACATGTGATACCAGACTTCTACAACACATATATACACTTCCAGTCATCAAAACAAGGTTTCACAGAATTTTGGGGTTTTTTTTTTAGTGCATGACATTAGGTAATCAACATAAATTTACTGAATCATAACCCTGAAGTTTCTGCCTTAAAAAAAACTGGCATTAAGCATTTCATATTGCAACAAGCAGATAATTTTTTTTCTATTCTAGTCTCAAATTTATGCACTTATAGAATTTTAAGATTGATTCTGTCACATAGCATGGAAAACAGCACTATAACTGACATCAAAAGGACACAGCATAACCACTGTAACCTGATAATATTAAGATGAATTAGATGGAAGGGAGACAACTCCAGACTTACCCGACACATTTCTGTACACGAGGGACAGATGACTGACCCAGAGTGTAAATAGTGGTTTGATGTGTAGCTTACTGCTACTCTCTGACCTTCTTGTACACAGCGATGAGATTGACCACCAATGTTCAGCACAAGTCCAGCTTGACTACTGCAGTGATACTGTAACAGACATTCAATACAAGGCACTGACAATGTATTCTATCTACCAAATAACACTTACTGAAAATTCAAAGCATCAAAACTTAACAGCTTCTTTAATCTGTGTTTACAAAACATTATTTTATAGAATTATACCAGGAGATATAGACAAATCATATATATATATATAATAATTGCTTCACTCCAAAACATAGTTCCAAACTTCATCTGACTGCAGTTTTATTAATTTTCCTGTAACTTTTTCATAAAACAAACAAAATAATTTATTCTGACAATTATTCATAACATTGATTATAGCAAATTAATGCACATACTAAAATACAGCTGTTTTCATCACTGCCAAAAACAGCAAATAATGTATATGACATAAGTATTCTGAAGTAATGATGAAATAATTCTACCCTATTTTGTCCCAATCTATAACATGGTGTGGTGCACTCACCTGATAACAGCCACTTCCCCAGTGTGGCAGACTCAGTAGACTGGAACACTGTTGTAGTTTCCAGAGTCTATCATGGTTGAAACACTTGCTATCGTAGCCATAAGTCTCTCCAAAGAAGCTAATGGTTGGATCTGAGCAAGATAAAGTATTTTGCATTTTTCAATGGAGGTAAATTACAATATGCATAAAAACAGATCATATGCAACAGAAAAAAAAATAAATTCTGAAGTTATGGTTTATCAGATAATAAGAAAAGAAAGTCCCAAATTACTAAGCATAAGAAAAATTAAATTCGCTCATCATATTGTCTAGTCTTTTGAAACAAATCTGTATTCATTCTACAAAATGGATCTGCGTTACAACTATGTCAACAGGTAAATACCTGTTTCACTTAATGGTGTCACCTAATAATGTTTGTATTACTTATTGGAAAGCAAGTCACCTAACAAAAGATGTGTTACTTGATGGAAGAGCCATTCACCTTGTAAAGGTTGTGCTACTTAATAGAAGAGCCAGTCACCTTGTAAAGGTTGTGCTATTTAATAGAAGAGCCAGTAACTTTACAAGAGATTTGTTACTTAAAGGAAGAGCCAGTCACCTTGTAGGGTTGTGCTACTTAACAGAAGAGCCAGTCACTTTACTAGAGATTTGTTACTTAATGGAAGAGCCAGTCACCTTTTAAAGTTGTGCTACTTAATAGAAGAGCCAGTCACCTTACAAGAGATTTGTTACTTAATGGAAGAGCCAGTCATGTTGTAAAGGTTATGCTACTTAATAGAAGAGCCAGTCACCCTGTAAAGGTTGTGCTATTTAATAGAAGAGCCAACAGTACAAAGGTTGTGCTACTTGATGGAAGAGCCAACCATACAAATTTTGTGCTAATTAATGAAAGACCCAGTCGCCTTCAAAAGACTGTTACCGGTATTTAATGGTAGAGCCAACTGCCTTACAATGGTTGTGTTACTAAATAGAAGAGTCAGTCACCTCACGGTAATAGGAAGGTGTAATGAAAAACACAATTCCACTGCTGGGGTTCAAACTAGTGACTTTTCCCACTAGCCAAGGCTAGCAAGGTGACCTGTATTCTATAATTCTACTCTACTCCCTCCTTCACAAATCTTTGACCCTGAAACAACAACAAGCCAGGATCAATATCTCCAAGGAAGCATCTCAATCTCTTATAGCTTCTACCCTTGGAGTAGTCAACAGCACCAAATCTGTAAAAGGAAGAAGCAATGAAAAACACCCTGCCACCACTGGGGTTTAAACTAGCATCCCTTCAGTGACTAATGGAAGAGCCAGTCACCTTTAAAAGGCTGTGTTACCTAATGGAAAAGTCAGTCACCTTTAAAAGGCAGTGTTACTTAATGGAAGAGCCAGTCACCTTTAAAAGGCAGTGTTACTTAATGGAAGAGCCAGTCACCTTAAAATGGCTGTTACCTAATGGAAGAGCCAGTCACCTTTAAAAGGCAGTGTTACTTAATGGAAGAGCCAGTCACCTGACAAAGGTTGTATTACTTGATTTACTTAATGTAAGGTCCTAGAGCCAGAGTTAACTCACGAAGGCTGAGTTACTCGATAGAAGAGTCAGTCATCTTAGAAAGCTTCTACATTAAAAGTTGTTGGAGGATGAAGTAAAACAATGAAATCAGTAGAGCAAATCTTAATCCATTTCATATACATAACAATGATATTAGTAGATCAAACCCTAATCCATTTCATATACATAACAATGATATCAGTAGATCAAACCCTAATCTATTTCATATACATAACAATGATATCAGCAGAGAAAATCCTAATACATTTCATATACATAACAATGATATCAGCAGAGAAAATCCTAATACATTTCATATACCTTAACAATGATATCAGCAGAGAAAATCCTAATACATTTCATATACCTTAACAATGATATCAGCAGAGAAAATCCTAATACATTTCATATACATAATTTTCCTAAGATATAAAATCCATTTTCATTGCTTGAAAGACCCTGTGAATTCAAGTGATCAGGTAAGACAAACTTAATTATATACATGCATTTTGTCTGTTATCTTCCATCAACTGTCAAATCACTCTAAATCTATACAATATATATATACAAGGGAGATAACTATTAACCATGTACAAGGTCTAAGGAATTTATAGAAATTGTTCACATCTGCAAATTACCTGGATTGTTTTCTACTAGAGAACACCTGGAATCTCTAACTGTCACCTCCCCGTTACGCCAGGCAAACTCCTGTAAAACAAAGCATCCACACAATATTCATATCTTGTTAAAGGAAATTAAGACAAATGTTCTGTGTGTACAATGTATGTGTCAGTAAAGTAAATTACTCCATAACATTTACAGTGATATTCAATTCAATGCCTACAGACAAATAAGAACAAAATATGACTCACAACAATGGTGATTTCATTAACATAAAAGATGGATGTTTTTAACATGTAAATGAAGTTGCATTACCATTTCATTAAGTGAAAGAGATGTCTAATCTTCCAGCAAAAACGAAAGTTAGACCAAATTTTAGATTTTCTATCTATCCATTATAATAGTGACAGGAAGTGTTACCTGTAGGTAGGGACAGTAGTCTGCCAGAGACACAGAACCGCCATAGTTCCCCACAGCATACGCTGGTATACCATTCAGGGAATTGAAGTACTGAAAAACAGTTATGTTTAGGATTCTTCTTCAATATGTCTGTAAACCACACAAATTCATAGAGGTTTTCTGATTATGTTTTCATGTCAGAGAAAAAAGTCCTAACAAATACTGCTTTTCTGACGTATGAAATGAATTGGCAGTGATAGATGTGAAATGTCACTTACATTGTAAGTACTAAATTGTAAGAAAACCATATTTCAATACAAAATTGCTCAAAATTTGAGATTATCTAAATGTGGATACAAAGGGATACCTGATACTGTTGAGGAAGACTACTATTGTACTCCACCAGGTTACAGAAGGCCACCGAGTCCCTGTTCCTTGTGCAGTCAGTCTTCAGTACCCCTCTCCGCACCTCATCACAGAATGGATGGATATCACCTCGCCTAGCAATCATGCAATCATCAATCATTAGATGAAATTACCTACTTGTCCAGGGTACATTTTTTAACACCTCAAATAGTGAACGTTAATAAGGTGACTGACCAATATTCCCTTCTCAAAACCTCGACTAATATACATTAACATGACACCCTGTCTCAAGAACTTTCTTGAAATATACTTAAAAAAAAAACCACCTGTTTAAAGAAATGTCACCATTTTCCTTACTAATCAGTAACCTGAAACATCATTTAAAAATAAAAAATACACACTTGGCTCTATTGCGCACAATCCAATCCAGACAACTCCTCTTGACAAAGTCACAGCCCAGATTTTTCCCCCACTCCAACTCCTCAGCACTACTGTAATCCACACTGTACCATCTGTTGCAAGGGAAACATGGACAAGCATGGATTAATATACAAAAAAGTTATCATAACAAATATTACATGATTTACATATCTTTAATCTATATGAAAAAGATTAACCAAAATGGAATTATCATTGTTAGCTTTAATACTTTATGAAAACAGAAGTTCTTTAAAAAACATTGTACTAAATAATCAAATCCTGTCAACACACAAAATTAGCTTGCTAATACGATTAAGTACATGTAATATTAAACCCATCAACTATCAAAAATTTTAAGACACAAAACTGTATTTGATGATTTGGACTGGAATTTGATGCTATCAACAGCTAGAGTCATATAGGGACATGCCAGGTTTGGATGTTGTGGAGGAAAGCCAAAGTTCCCAGAAAAAAACTAACAACCTGCGACCGATACCTGATGACTGCCCCACAGAGGCTTCAAACCCATGACCCAGAGGTGGAGGGCTAGTGATAAAGATAGTACAATGCCTTTACCATTCAACCACCGAGATGATGATAAAACACTGACAGTTTAAAATAGCTGAAGTACATACCCAGTGTCCTCCATTAAAGCCAAGGTCACACGGGAAATCACAGGGTTTTGTGTGTATGTCCCTGTCATAGCCTCGTTCTGAAATCAATGAGGATGTTTATGCATATCAAGTTTATCAACAGGAGCATGCTAACATAAACAATATATATAAACACTGATCTTGTTTTGCTTTATGAAGAGCTGTGACTTAGCCTTTTGAGACTTGTATAAACAGTCACAGGTCCCTGTAAATTTATTTCCAAAATGTTACATTTAAAGTGCTGATGACCTGAATGTCCTATTCATCCAGTTAGTACTGACCTCAAAGATTCGTTTTTCCCAGTGAGTGAGAGCTGTACCCACAATTCCTTGGTCTTCAAGTTCGGCTCCCTCTAGAGTGGAACAATTGAAGTGACGCCGTACCTCATCCTAATTACCAATTACAACAAAAGACAAACATTAAACATGTACATCACTAATGGGAGGAGAAGATGACTACAACAAATCCATAAACATTTAAATCTCATTGACCTGTAAACATTTAGGTGATAACTGAACTACATTTTGGAATTTGCAGCAGAATGTTTATGATCATACTGAGTTTTATTGCCAACGCATTGCAGAGCCAGTCAAATGGATGATTACAACATTATACTATTGATGAACTGCCACTACTGCAAGTATTCAATTTTTATCCCTAATTCATAAAGAGTTACAAAAGCAAAAACCCCAAAATTACCATTTTTTGTGTAATTTCAGAAATATGGATTATTTTGTCCAATATGATTGAGTTTGAAACCAGTAATATTCAAGTCAAGCATTTCGTTGACGGTTTGGTTATACTATAGATTCTGACATAATTTTCATGACACGCCAAGATCAGTTAGGGCCACTGATATTATCAAAAATCATCATCCAGCCTAATTATGTAAATGAGAATTTTGTGAAGGATACATCATGATTATACAGCTATTAATTATTTTCAATGAAATCAATGAAAAAAAATCAATCAAATGTCATGTCACATCTTCAATGAATTAGAATCAAGATTTCAAAGATGTTCAACATTGCAGTTAAAGTATTGTGCTGTTTTACAGCATGGAAATAATGCCAAAATGAAACATAAGATTTCCATCCAAAAGTTTATCAATTTGCCTGTAACTTACCACCACACGGGGAGTGACAATCATGTTAATTGACTTTGATGTGTAGCCACTGCGATTCTTCCAGTTCTGTCGTTTAAATGTCTTCACCACTTTGTCACTCCACTGGTACAAACTAAGTCTGAAACAATGGAACAAGTCACCAATGCTGGTACTGACAAAATATATCTACCCTGTTATCTATATATATTCAGCCAGTTACCAGTCAACATGGATCTCCCTATTCTCCTCTCCCATTGATTTCAATGTAACACAGAAGCAGCACTTAATATAACTTTAACCATAACTTGACTAAAATTAACATAGCTGAAGATCATCCCCCATACAAAAGACAAAGTATTTCATGTATATATATATATTGTGAACATATTTTGAAAGTATCTGTGAAATATCTTTGTTTTTCAAGGGATTAGATACATCTTAGATGAGGTATGACCATGACTTTTACATCCAATTCAGACATGAAGCATAATGCACAGATAATAATGTTGGTGGGACCTATTTTTCAATTTTGAGTATTCAGATTTACATATCAATTTATACATTTTGAAAGTTTAATTTAAAACTGACACAATTTAGGAAGGTGTTGCTAGAAATAAAACATACAGTAAGGATTATCAGGTGAACATCTGGAGCACTTAATGAGATAAACTGATAGAATGTTAAACACTAACTGTGGGTTGTACCAAGGTTTCCCTGATATTGAATTCCGTGTGGTCAGTGGAGTTCCATTTCGGTCATAATAAAAGGCATACAGGCCAGCTGTAAAACCCTGGAATCACAACAAATACAAATCTCTTTATACACAAAATAAAATATGGATATAAAACAGTGGAATCACAACAATACCATGTCACGTCACAAAGTGATATCAATCTCAAGACAAATTTTATTGAATTCCATTATCTTTTCTTTAAATATCAGGCATTGTGTTAATCTATTTTGGTCAAGAAGTAACTAGAAATATTGAACCTAAGTTAGACATTGTGCCTATAAGGACAAAACTATTATTTTTATAGCATCACACATCTTAAACTAAAACTGAAAGCCACTGGCAAACTAGGCACAACTAGGGCACTAACCTAATATATAAAGAAATTTTTGAGGAGTTGAATGGAATGGTTTTGAAGACGAAGCCCAGAAAGGAAAATTAATACTAATTTAGTGTTTTTTACTATGTGTCCATGGTAACAGAAAAAATATAAAAAAATATAAAAGTTGTCAACAGCAAAAGGCTTAAACAGGGCACTACCTTAATATATACAGCTAGTTTTGTGAAGTTGAGTTGAATGGTTTTGAAATTGTAGCCCAGAAAAGCCCTCGGACGGAAGTATGTAGGGACAAACGTGTGGCCGGACGGAGACCAAATTAATATTTCCGGCAAACATGTCTCTTGGGGAATAATGAAAATATTACAATGAGCAAAATCAACTTTCTTGAATTTTGTTATGCTGTCCATTTTATTAAGTCTATCCCTATTAATCAACATAGTAAGTCAAAACAAAATGAGCCAATCAAATTAAATTTATAAAGGTATCTGAGTCAATCAAAATGAATTAATAAAGGTATCCAAGCCAATCAAGATGAATTTAAAAAGGTGTCTGAGCCAATCAAAATGAATTTATAAAGGTGTCTGAGCCAATCAAGATGAATTTAAAAAGGTGTCTGAGCCAATCAAAATGAATTTATAAAGGTGTCTGAGCCAATCAAAATGAATTTATAAAGGTGTCTGAGCCAATCAAAATGAATTTATAAAGGTGTCTGAGCCAATCAAAATGAATTTATAAAGGTGTCTGAGCCAATCAAAATGAATTTATAAAGGTGTCTGAGCCAATCAAAATGAATTTATAAAGGTGTCTGAGCCAATCAAAATGAATTTATAAAGGTGTCTGAGCCAATCAAAATGAATTTATAAAGGTGTCTGAGCCAATCAAAATGAATTTATAAAGGTGTCTGAGCCAATCAAAATGAATTTATAAAGGTGTCTGAGCCAATCAAAATGAATTTATAAAGGTGTCTGAGCTAATCAAAATGAATTTATAAAGGTGTCTGAGCTAATCAAAATGAATTTATAAAGGTGTCTGAGCCAATCAAAATGAATTTAAAAAGGTGTCTGAGCCATTCAGAGACTACAGTGATCATCTTCCATTCTTATGTTTGTTCATGTACCATTATGTTCATTATTTTTGCCTAACAAGAGACATTTTATGAACAGGTCACCTGTTGAAAGCCAAGGTCACACATCACAGGAACTCCAGTTGATATTTAAAAAGTGTTAAACTCACCAATGCATGGAGAATTTCATGTTTAAGCGTTGATAGCAGCTGAAGATGATCTTGCTTTTCGATGGATATGGATTCTGGACAAATACTGAAGTAGCCTGCTACTGGTCTGAAAGCATAACATATAATGAAGTAGCAAGTTACAGGTCTGAAATTATAACATATGAAGTAGCTAATGTTTGAAATCATTATGTATATACTGTAGCCAGTTACAACATTTATGAATTCTCTATATGCCTTTTTAAATACAGTATAAGCACAGGTACACATGTGTGATCTACCAGTAATACATTAGCAAAAGTTTCTTTATGTGGCAAAGCAAACTTGTGTTTTGTTAAGAGTAGTGGGTATCCCAGTTTAATCCAGGTTATCAATAAGTTTGGTGTATCGCTTGATGACATATGGCACCACCCACAAATGAAATACTGCAACGAGTATGAGAGGCTTTATTTTACAAAGAGAAAATTAATTTTCATTTAAATTTTCAAAATGACATTGATGGTCCATAACTCACAGCCAAGTGTATATACTGGAGAAGCAAGTGATTTTGAAATCATACAATATGTTTCAAAATTAAAACATCTAAATTTCAGTAACCGATATTCAAAGACAAACCCGAATCTATTTACCTATCCAGAGCTGCCTCCTGCTGACAATGTGCTGCATATGCTATGGTACGTGCCTTACGGCATCGTGGTGTTGAGAGAGCAGCAACATAGAGAATGAAGTCAGTGTTGTTGACGCCTGGACCAGCATCTGATGTACTTCTCCAGATATTGAACCTACTGTCCCACAGATAACACCTCTGTAAATGACAACAGCCAGGTGATAAAAAAATTCAAACATATTGGTTAATGTGAAAGGCTGGATTAAAATGAGTAAGTGGTTAGTGTGTCCTCACTCTCACAATTGTTTGCTAATTGATTTTGAAATGATATATACATGTACTTTTGATATATTAATGATACACTACACATATTTTTATCAAAAGTTCCAGATTTTAACTTTTGAACCTTTTTAAACTGTAAACAATGCCACTCTGACCTCCTTACTCCTGGCCTCTTGTTTTCATCATTTACAAATTAACCATTCCTAGAAGACTACTAATTATAATGACACTCCCAAAAAAAACCTTCCCCCATCTCCATTAACTTGTTTTCACATTTACTACATGGGTAACATGACATGTCTCACCTCTAAATGCTCCAAGGGTATAAAAATGTCACCACATTTCGTGAGGGCAGCACATCCATCCACACAATATCGTCCCTTGTCAATGTCTCTGTATCGTACTTCATCTGACTGACACTGCCTGATACATAAAACATCAATCATTCATCAAATGTCTGCTTCATACACAGTTCTCTCATTAAACCTTATTACATCATCTATACAAGCATGTGTTCAAATATGCTGAATCATTGTCATCAGAAAACAAAAAATAATTAATTCAGCAAAATATATAAATCTTGCTAAATGAAGACATTTAACAGTAAATTAATTACTTGGTATTTTTTTTTTCATTTGCTTTGAATTAAACTGTATTTCGATTTTGATCATATTGCTACAAAAAGCTTATCTACCTGCCTATGTAGTGTTGGATATCTCTTTTCACATCAAAGCATTGGTGCAGGATTGATGTGTGTTATGTTGTTGTTTACTTGTTTACTATTATACTGCACTGTGTGTATATATAAAACTGATAAGGTGTTTAGGTACAGGTAATAAATGTATTTATACTCCACAAACCAACTCCCTCCCAGGCAAATCTGAGACATTTTTCAACAAACTTCTATAAATAGCAATAACCTGGCCTTCACTTTTGGTTTCTAACACTAACTTTTTCAGGTGTTTTCATTTGTTTTCCATTTAGCAAAAAAAGGCTAACATCTTCTTTGGCTTTGTGACCCGGAAACAAAAACTTATTTCAGGTACTTGACACTTGATGTTTTTATAAACTTTCATCAAAATCTGTTGAAAAATTGAACTTTCAGTATATTACCACTGGATCAGTGTGAGAATTTTCAGGTACTGAATGTATATACATAACATTATATATCCCACAGAAACACATTGCACACAATACAAAACAGTGCGCAATGTTCAACACTATATAATTACCTGTTGAGTCTGATGGAACCAATGGTGCGTCGTACAGAGAGAGTCCGCTCCCAGTAGTCGACTGCTTCCCTTACCAAGGTCTGAAAAAAAGAGCAATGACGTCAGCTGATGGACGCTATAGCTATCAGCTGATAAGCCATGCCAACATGTCAGTGCTCTGTTATGCTGTTATTCCAAACTGGTTATACAGTCTGTATTTGTTGTTTATTTATCATACAATTAACAACTTGGGTCATATAGAGGTGGTGTCTCCTTATAGGAACCTGTTTTTATATAATTACCTCAATGAAATTCATTCAGAAAGTCCAATGCCCCATATTCAGAGCAAAGAGGTAAAGTCCCTTTCCCCACGGACACAACCAAAGTAAACATTGGGTAGTCAAAGATTTCACCTTCCTGAGAAATATCTCTGGGATCAAACAACACAGCTTGAAAAGTCAGATGCTTACATGTAATCTTCATTGTCAATTTACTGTACTTAAATTTAGTATATTTTCTTGACAAAGTCTTGTACACCTAACATGTATAAAGATTCATTCTAATACATGTATAAAGGAGAAATATTTCCAAACTTGTCTTTTTCTAGACAGAAAATGTTTTCAACATGTTAAATGGAAATTCAAAAATTAAAAAGGAGAAAAAAATGGGAAATGAGTAATTCCTAAGTAAAGCATAACTTTTTGGAATAATAGGGTTCAACAAACTTACTTCAATTAGAGAGCGGTGGGAGGCCGGGAGAAAACTTATACTGTTGTCATAGTGCAGATGGATCCTCAGAGGCTGGTCAGGACTCCTCTTCCGAACAACGTGGTGAGGTTCTGAATCCAGGCTCACATCTAGGATAACCTAAAATGTAGTAGGAACATACAGGAGTGTCAATATATCTCATACAAGAAATTTCACAACCTTGTTTACAAGTGTACATTGAAAAAAATTCCAAATCTAACACTTTTTGTATGATTTGAGAAATTCTAGAATGTTTTTTCCAAAAAATGAAGAAACTTCATACCAAGTAATAAACAAAACTTAGGTATGGTCCAGATGAATAGGATGAATTCACAACTCAAATATCTGTGTCCAGAAACTTGTGTACAGATGAAACTTTATTTTTAGTTATACCTATAGAGCTACCACATCCAGAGGCAGTGTCACATTATACACTTAACTGATACCGGTACATGGTTACTCTATAGATTAATTCATATCTTGACCTTTCAACACTCCCCAAGGTTTTTGCTTCATCCTGTCTTTTTTCTTTATTTCCAAAACATTTTCTACACAAGACCAAATTAATTACTTCTTCATATCCCACGGGATTCCCCCTTCCATCTTTTCTTCCTCCCCAAATTTTCTCTGTTCTTCACTCTGATTATGACATCCTTTAATTTTCACTGTTTTTTTATACAGTCATTCTTCTCTTCCTCCTCCCTGAAATGTTCTTTGTTCTATAACCTAACACATCTTTCATTTATTTCTTTATTCAGAGCCTCCTCCTCTTCCTCCTCCTTTGAACTTTCTCCATTCTATTCTCTGATACCTTTTCCCCTTGTTTCTCTATCCAGTGCATTCCCCCTCTTTCTCCTCCATTAAACTTTCCCCGTTCTATGCTCTGACACTTTTCCCCTTATTTCTCTATCCAGTGCCTTTCCCCTCTTTCTCCTCCTTTAAACTTTCCCTGTTCCATGCTCTGACACTTTTCCCCTTATTTCTCTATCCAGTGCATTCTCCCTCTTTCTCCTCCATTAAACTTTCCCTGTTCCATGCTCTGACACTTTTCCCCTTGTTTCTCTATCCAGTGCCTTCCCCCTCTTTCTCCTCCATTAAACTTTCCCTGTTCCATGCTCTGACACTTTTCCCCTTGTTTCTCTATCCAGTGCATTCCCCCTCTTTCTCCTCCATTAAACTTTCCCCGTTCCATGCTCTGACACCTTTTACCCTTATTTCTCTATCCAGTGCCTTGCCCTTGGTTTCTCCTCCATTAAACTTTCCCTGTTCCATGCTCTGACACTTTTCCCCTTATTTCTCTATCCAGTGCCTTCCCCCTCTTTCTCCTCCATTGAACTTTCCCTCTTCCATGCTCTGACACCTTTTCCTGTTGTTTCTCTATCCAAAGCCTTCTTCATCTCCCTTCCCCTTGAACTTTCTCTAATCTATGTTCTGATATCTTTTTCTCTTGTTTCCATCCAGAGCCTTCCAGCTCCCCAAAATTTTCTCTGTTCCACGCCATGTATAACTCAAGTATCTTTCTCCTGTTTTTTAATGAAGTTTTGTATTCCTTCCTTATCCCTAAAATTTTCTCTGCTTCACAGCCTATCACCTTTTTCACTTGTTGTTCTATTCAGAGTCTTCCCTTTCTTCCTCCTCCATAAAACACTGAATTGTATCTGTTCAACACTCACACCATTTTCATTTGCTCCTCTATAAGAAGAGCCACCCCCTTCTTTATCCTCCCTAAAACTTTCTCAATTACACACCCTTATGCCCATTTCACTTTTTTTTCTACCAAAAATAAATCATTTCCACATCCTATTTTCCCCTTCCAACTTTGATCCATTTCTGTGTTCAAATCTTGCGAGAATTTCAGCCTTTTCACCTATTACAAAGAATTTTTAAACCACATTTTCATCCATTACAGGGATTTTTAAATCACCTTTCCATCCATCTCTGGGATTCATAAACCACCTTTCTATACCTTTCAAAAATTCTAAACCACCTTTCTACACCTTTCAAAAATTCTAAACCACCTTTCTACCCATTTCAGGGATTTTTAAACCACCTTTTCAATCATTTCAAGGATTTTAAAACTTTCTTTTCACACATTTGAGGTATATTTAAACCACATTTCTATCCACCCACCCAGGGGTTTTTCACATCACCTGTTATTGATACAAAGAAAGGTGGAGCACTGATACTCCAGTCACTCTTGTTACAGGGCTCATTAAGATAATGTAGACTCTATATCTAATACACTGATTGCTTGAAATCTGATTCTACAAAAGGTCTATCAGGACAATGTGGAAGTAGGTCACATGAGATCTACAAACTACACTCAGTACTAAGAGTATATTCACCAATATCATACAGAGCTACACTCTTCAGGTTCTCTTTTTCTAATTGACTAGTTAAGGACATGTTATAAACATAATAAAGAGCTTTTGTGAAACAGCCTATAAACCTACTAAAGCTTTCTTGTTTAAGGATGTTATTTTACAGAAAACTATTACTGTGCTTATGTGCCTGTTATTATATCCATCGAATATCCTATATTTATCTGGCAACGCATTTGCTAATCATACACTTGTATTAGTAAATGTATAATTCTATACAGTACAAAGGGTGAATAGTACCTAATAGATGAATATAGGACATTCAATGCAACAAGTCATACAAATTTTTATTTTTGCTAGCATAGACGAGAAACTTCAAGAAGACAAGGTTCATAAAAAAAATCATATGAAATGATAACTAATGTACATTTTTCATAAACATTTAAACATCAACTTTAATAAAGACTTTAATGAAAATTTCAAATCTGCTTTGTGTCAACCTTTTACTTGGATTTGTTTTACCATCTATGTTACTACATAAATAATATGATCACTATTATTTTCTTTCTGAAAATTATCTTTGTTGTTACAGTAGAAGTCTACAACATTAATATTATTAAAATAGGTTATGATATTGTCATACTTTTCTGCAAGAATACAGGAAATAATTTCAATAATTTTTTTAGAATAACAGATTATTAGTATAATCATTAAATGGGGAAATAACCATTTTTACACTGATCATATATATGTAAGTCATATAAAAGCGGTGGAATTTGATAAAATAGCTTGAAAATTAATTCATAGAGTTTTAACCTTAAACCTTATCAAAATTGATTGTTTGACCTAAAAAAGACCATGCATTTATCAAATATTACTGATCAGAAATATGATATAACAATGACTCTGATTTGAAGATTATCAATACATGCTTATATTATAAACCTTCACTATGAAAACTGGACGTATACTGTGTAATTTTTCTGATGCCCTCTTCCTGGTACATTTTATATAAAAATGTTTAGTACTATTCATGACGTTGATCCACTATCAGGTTCCTACCCCAAACCCCAAATGTACGATCAAACTCTTCTACAAATTCTATTTGGAACAGAAAATCAATGACAATTGACTTATCTAAATTCTATAAGTAGAGAGCCCATCTTCAATGTGCAGTGGTTTGATATAACATACATTTTGCTAGTATACATGAGCAATACATATTGCATGAGACAAGGTTCTTTCAGCAATAAAAATAGGACTCACTATTGACGAAAACTTATATATGGAATTCCTTACAGGGTCAATTTTCTGGCAGAGACAGATTACCACAACAGTAAATTTGATTGTCTTCATTTTAACTATAGCCACCAAGAATCACACTGTATTACTTAAATGGGGGAGATGACTGATGATAATTTAGCCATAATAAGTTATGGGTATTGTAAAATGTCTGCTGTTTTGGTACTCAGATTGGAGAAGAGGATATGGTTGCCTGAGCGCCACTGTAAGCAAATCATTTAATGCTAAGACTTTCATAATTTTTAATTGATACTGTTTAAAACATGGAAACATTGTGAGTATGAAGGTACTTAAACTATGGTAGACTTTGGACACTTTGTGGCATTATAAATTTATATGCAATAATGAAGTTCCAAAGACATATTTTTGACACACAAGATTTTGAATGAGTTAGAACATATAACCTGGAGTACCTTACAAATGCCTTTGTAGACTTAATTGATTTAAGAAATTAAAGACATGAGTTGACCCAACCAATGTATACCAATATTTTTTACAAGTTTTGTAGAATTTGCATCTAAGTTGTCTCTAAGCCAATAGTATTTTGAAGCATAAAGATTTAAAAGGACCAAAGTTATTTTCAGGAATTCAATTCCTAATATGCAGTTGCTTTAGGACTCCATAAATCAGAAAAAGGGACTTGTTTATAAAGCATTTGCAAGACATAAAAACATTAAAAGCTACAAGTGTAAAACTTCTCAATCCAAATTCAGTTTCAAATCACAACTGCTGAACAAAATTATACTTATAGATTCAACTTTCAATTGTAAATCAATAAACATTGATATGAAAAAATTGACATTAACGTTTATTTCTGAATTATCATATCTTTCTCAAAATGATTTTTAGGTGTTGGTACTGTAACCATACATGCTTTCAAATGTACTTTAACTAAAACAAAATCTAAGTATGATGACGTTTCTACTGATTCTCTTAAAATAAAATTCAAAATAGTTATCATTTTGAATCCCATATTCAATTATAAATTCTGTCAGACATCAGATCACTTAATACATATAAATTGAAAGTAAACCAAGTATCATATCAACAGAATTAACAACATGTACAGGTAGATCCTATAATATCTACTAAATTTTCTAATGCATAAAAAACAATATATAAAGTTGTCATACCTCATTTCGAGATGCTGGTTGATGATCACAACTGAATCCTGACACTGGAAATTCTGGGACAAGCTGGTCTTCAAGTGAGTAATGTATCACTAATGATATAACTAAACAAAACTTCTGCATTGTATGTCCCGTCATCATATTGGAAGCACAGGCATTATAATGATAAACATGATTGAGTAAGTGTTCTTGTATTTAGTATAATTATCCATTCATGTTCATGTGAACCAGTCAATCTCCTGATTGCTTTTTGTAATGAAACTACACATATCATCCACAATGTAAACCAGATCTTCAAGTATAGTAGAGTTCACATGATTAACACTTCATCTGCACTTGTGTATGCTTCAGTACATGAAATCCATGTATAAGAAAGTATGCAGCTAATGGCTACATGTAGCCTTGGTATGTTTCTTTTTTTGTATTGCAGATAATTTTATAACATAAACGCTAACACTATTTCCTTACTTGAGGCAGAATCACATCAATGTCATAGTGTTTTAGATGTCTAGTGATAACTCACAGTAGATGAATCACCCTTCAGTTGCTGAACCAATGGCCACATACTACACATCCCTACACTGTGATGTTTGGTCATCCCTACAGCTACAGTGTAGCACCTATACACTCTGCAGAGTAATACAGTACAACTCATACAGAAATAGAGGACTCATAATTATAATAGCGAAGTACATTATATAATAATTACATTTCTCCTTACTAACTCTTCCAAATTAATCTATATAGGTATAACGAGTTGGTGCTAATGCAATGCCAAAAATATTAGATCTAAAACATAAATGTTCTAGATCTGAATTAATTAAAAATAAACAAATAAAAAACGTTTTTAATGAAAACATTAATTTCATTTCACATCATATTTTTTCTCTCTCTTGAATTTGATTCAGAAAAAGTCCCGTGCTTTATGTTTCGCACTAAACTTAACCTGTGATTGTCAGAATATATGGTAAATTACATAATCAAAATTGCTATTTTACGTAGCTTCTAAAAATAAAATCGGGGTACTCAAGAAATGTCACGAACGGTGAATCAATAATTTAAGATTAATCTTTGTTGTTTGGAGCATTGTGTCAAATTGACGATATATATATTATTAAGCTACAGAAATCAAACAATATACTTGACTGCACAACGGGGCACACGTTCAAAACTTGTCATCATTTGCCGTATGCTCTCGACTTTCCAAACCCCTCCATCGGCCCTCATCTTAACTTTCGTACCATTTTACAGGAGAGTTACAAATAATGGGGAATAATATTTTAATCGTTTCTGTCGAAATGTCTGTTTTGGAATTATATTTCAGTAAAAAATAACGATAAGTCATAATAAGGATTTTGTTGTAAGAAAAGCAGTAGTTGAGACTGATTATTTTTGTACTTAATGTTTCCGTAAAAAAAATAAAACGACAATAATAATGAGAGCTTCGGAAATTTATATATGCGGGTTTATTCTTTGTACCTGATCATCAACTTCCTGTTTAAGAAATACCGCCAGATTTGAGTTCCAAGGATAAACAGAAACGACTAGGAAATGGTGATTGCCTATCGTCCTTAAGTCACTAGATAAAATGGACGATAGGAGGCTAAGATCAATTATTTCTAATTGCAAAAGCGATTATATCAAACCGCTTTTGACGCAATGGGGACGTCAGATTCAATGCCAAAATATTATGTCGGTTAACTTTTCGGATCCAAAGAAAACGATTGCCCAAACACTGTTGTCACTATGTCGAGTGAGTAGAAGTTCCATTGTTGAATGAATTGATAATTTTACTACTTACATTATTTTGTTAAATATATTGCATATTACAACACACACTTGTATTTGAACCACAGTTGCAGGTAAACCTGGGAGTTGGCCTGTAACATTATAATAGGCATACTGCAGCAGTTATAGTTTAATGACTGATCACGATTTGACAGATGACGCGTAAAGCCCAAAAACAAAGCTAATACCTATGCTTATTATCATCGGATGTATATCCTCGATACCCCAGGGCTTACAATCACTTTCTCTTGTATTCTTTTCTTCTGAAACCTGCCTAATACCAATCAAATATATTGCTTGTGCCTTCAATTTTGCTTGGAAATGTTACAGGGGTAGAAAAAACTTTAGTGAGCGTAACCCCTGGACTATAAAAGTGAACAGGTGTATTGACTAATGTTACCTGGTGTGTTCATCGACATAGACATTTGTTGTAATTTTGTATCACACTAACTCAACTTTATCTTATACAAGTTATAATTAAAGAAGAGTGACCATGATACATGTCTGCATAGAAGATCTTGACTGGGTCGATTGTCATTGACCAGGCAACTCAATTGACAGAGCATTCGAGTAAAGGGTCCAGGGCTTGAACCTTGGTTTTCCTTTACATTTTACTGTTCCTATTACATTTAGTGTTTGTGACAAAACCTTGTTTCTAAGAAGATAAAAAGATGAATGCTTGACAAAGGGATATCTGACCCTGTGTTTTAAGATTTACTAGAGAAAGAAGGAAGAAATGTTGTGTAACTGGTATGGGTTGATTGTGTGCAACCAGGTAGCTCAATTAATTGAGTAATCTGTCTGGAATTTGGAGGGTCCAGATTTCAAACCCCAGTGTGGCTGTGCACTTTTCTGCTCCTATTACATATACATTTAGTTTAGTCCAGTTTATCCACTAAGAACATCAGATTCTGCAACCTCTTGATCAGATGACAGTTTCTAGGTGTATTCTATATCTTGGGAACTGATTACTAAATCTCAGATAATCCTGTGCTGTTTTTGCTGTGATTGTGTCCATGTGCAGATGACACTTTATCATTTCTACTGGGAAACATGCATCTGTTTCTTTTTAATCACTATTTTTTAACAGGTGCCCATATAGTGACATTTATCATTATTTTTTTTCCTAATAAAAATAAGCTGCATTGAGCAATTTGAATGTCATTTTGTCAATGTTGGTGACTAAAACAATGATCTCCTGCTTGTTACAATAAACCAATAGAGCAATACCAAATTAACAAACAGCAATACCAAATAGTAACTTTGGACAGTCTTTTGCTGCATTTGGAGCTGAAGAACCTGTTTTGGGGTTTTCTTTTTGGTGGCAAAAGATTAGAGAGGGAGAGTGTAAAGTGAAAGTTGGGAGTACAGATTGTCTTACTTAATAGTTTAAATTTAGTTTTGTCCAATAAAAAATGTCTTTAATCAATACCTTGGGAACATAAGGGTATACATACAAAGGACTCTTACAATGAGAGAAAAAGGTTGCATTTTAAGCCCTACCATGGCAAGGAGATTATTTCATTTAAGTTCTTGAAATTTCCTTTTTTTAAATCAAGAAATGTAAAGATGCCAATACAATCTCGACTGGAAAAAGATTGTTGAATTTTCAAGTCAATCTATCTGTTGTATTACAAAATACAAATACAAGTTTATACAACATCTAACATACAAAGCACATCAAAATGTTGATCAATTATAGACTGGCTGTTGATGCTCAAACGAAACAGATTTAAATATGCAAGTGTTAAAGTTTACATCCTTATATAGCTGAAGTACAGCATACCACTAAGAATTATCCTTCCTTTTGACGTATTAAAACTAAACCAAGTCGAGACATTGAAATTTGTGGTAGTTATAAAACTGTTCTTACTCTATTGCTTTAAAGATAAATTTTGGTGAGAATAACTTGCTTCTTTAATTACACAATAGTTATAAATACTTGTGCTTACCTATATCACATATCAAGATATGTTAAATTATATTCATCAGGTGATTCTAATTATTGAATTTTCAGTCGAGGAAACATTTCAAGACTGAAATTGATGAATTGGACCTCATGTGTAAGTCAAACAACATTATGTTTAAAATTATTTGGCTATCTATAAATCAGCCCAATAATATTATTGAAGTTTCTCTAACACATGCTTTTTCATTGTCCTGTGATTTAAATCCCTGGCTTTGTGCACCGTTTTACAGTGCAAGTTTATGTGTTGCCTTGTTTTGGCAGGTACAGGATTAAATTTATGAAAACATTGTCAAATCATAACGAGTAAAATGCATTAATGATACACATCAAAATTTAAAAGTACTGATTACTTCAATATTTCATGATGGAATGAAACAAAGATAAAGCTGACAAAACATTGAATCCAAAAGTTAAAAACAGAATGATGTTTTTGCAATAATGTACCCTCTGAACAGTATAATTTTAAATTCTTGACAATTTAGCTATTATTATCTAGGTACACAGATGTATCCAAAGAAGCAATTATGGAAAGTTTTCCATCTTGAAGACAAAAAAGGTAAAAATATGTTTATAACTTTATAATTATAATTTTTGTTTTTGACTTGTCAAGACCATAATTAACTCAGGGAGCAATCTGGTCATTACCTAGAGTTGCCAGCTTTCTATGCTTTGAATATATTCATCATATAAGATGGAGGAGGATCACATACTGCCATGATATCATGGTACTCATTTACAAAGTTACAGCTCTTTTTTGTATGCCTGTCAATAATTTTGAAAAGAAGTATACATATTATTGTATGGTGTTGTGTGACCTGTCCATCTTAAAACTTTAATTTGTTAAGAGATTTCTTTCCAGTTTTCAACTGATTTCTTTCAAACTTTGTTGGCTTAATCACCATGACATGATTTGATTTTTCTGAATGGCAGTTTGATTCGACTGTGTTGGGAAGAGTTATTGTCCTTTGTTGTTTTCATTATGTAACCTTGTCCAGATATCATCTTTTTTTTTTAAACTTTGTATACTTTGTGATTATGACATGAAATTGTGTTTTCTCAAATGTCAATTAATTTTTTTTGTGTATGGAGATTGTAACATTTTCTCTCAGTTTTCAGATAGCACTGACTTCCTTCATTCTGCATTTTGACACAATATTACCACTTCCATGTTTCCATGTTTCATTTTAATATGATGAATTATGGATATTTTCTTGAAATGGAGAATTAAAACCTATTCTTGTTTACTTTTTCAAAGATCACTTTAAGTTTTCCCATTGTTCATAGTTAGCAAACATTTCTTTTCACATGTTGATACTCTTTTGTATTTCGTTTTTAATGTAATTTCCATAATATTCAGTGATTTTTGTTTCTTTTTATGAAAGAATGGTGTCGATATGATATGTGAGCTTTTTATGTTTTACAGATAACATTGGCAATATGTGGTTGGATCTATGCAATCCTCAGAAATTTAAAAAGAAGTTTAAAAGCCAGGCAGAATTATATTTTGATAATGTAAGTCTGCTGTTTCATTATGCAATGGAATCGATGGTTGATATTAAGCCATTGAATTGTCTTAGAAGGTGCAAAATTGTGTAATAGAAAGTTGCAAGTGAAAAAAGAGAGGTCTAGAAATTTTAGAGAAAAAATCTTTTGGCATTTATATAAAGTTTTAATGTACCTTTATATTTCCATGCATGTACTGTTTTTTATTCTAACTGCTCACTCTTCTGAGCTGTTCTCAATCATTTCATGTTTTAAATCGGGCCTTCCATAGAAAATGTGTTTATAGCAGGATTTAGTAATATTCTCTGTATCATTTGAGGTTTATAGCTTTATATTTATGGAGTCTGTTGATGTAGGGTTTTAAGTTGTGGTTATTCTTTTATATGGGACATCTGTATTTAATTAATATTTAGGAATGAGCTTTGTAGGTGGTATCTATGTATATGACTAACTGTACATTTACGACTAAATTCTAATATAAATGGTTTCAGCTAATGATTTGTTCTCTTTCAGGTGGTATCAGTATGTGTAGGGGTCAATAAGGGAGCTCTGTGGACAAGACTCTCGGCTACTATCAGTGGACGTAGACAACAGGAATATAGACCAAGCAACATTGTGTACATGGTGTACTTTCCCAAGACACAATATATCATCGTAAGCCGTTACAAACTGTCTGCAGAAGAGTTCCTAAAACAGGTAAAATCAGTGAACAGAGTAAATCTGCAACAGATTTGGTCAAAAGTCACACAAAACTGTTGTGTTAGACTAATTTAACATAAAACATTGTTAGTTAGGTCAAAGTACACATGAACATTTACAGTCTTAAGTAAATGCAAAGCTACACAAGCTAAAGTAAATGTTCATTGTATGTCAGTGTTAAGCTATATCGAGTAAGGTTAAAGTTCATATTCACTTGATGTGTTAATAATAATAAATTAATTTGTCAGTTTATAGTCATAGGCTTAGTAAGAATGAGGCAACAACAGGTAAGGTCAGAAGTCATGGTTACTTGGTAAGCAATGTACATATATATAGACAAAATTCATAGTTCATAATGACAGGTGTTTTACAGCTACATCAGATAAGGTCAAAGTTCATGGTTACAAGGTAAGCAATATACATATATATATAGACAAAATCATAATAAGGCTAAACCTAGTAACACTAAAGTTCATAATGACAGGTGTTTTACAGCTACATCAGATAAGGTCAAAGTTCATGGTTACAAGGTAAGCAATATACATATATATAGACAAAATCATAATAAGGCTAAACCTAGTAACACTAAAGTTCATGGTTACATGCTAAGCTATAAGCCAAAATCAGATCAAGGCTACTTCAATTAAGGTTTAAGTTTATAACTACCTACCTGGTGTGTTATAGCCATAGTAATGTAAAGCTTAATCAGGTAAGGTCAAAGTTCACATTTACTTAGTGTTATATCTATAGTCAGTGTAAAGTATATCAGCAAAGGTTGGAGTTTGTTGTGAGCTAGTGTGTTATAGCTGTAGCCAGTGTATCAAATGTTACACTAGTTAAGGTCAAAAGTTCATGTAGGATGTCACAATACACCAGGCCCCATTTTCACGAAATGTTGGGGAGATTTAACCAGTGGTTAGTGGAAAAAATCAAATCGCTGCCACTGAAAAAAATGATGCTCTATCAAATATCAATCTGACTTGTCTCAACAAATCTACAACTGGAAGATTTGAAGAATATTCCCAGGTTTGTTTGATTCTTATTGGAAATTTCAATTAACCACTGGTTAACTCTAACCAAGCTTTAAACAACTGGGGCTGGATTGTTACATTATTAGCATACTAAACAAGTATTTAGTTTTGTAATTTAGAATGATACTTGTATTTCAGACTATTTTGACAACTCTGGGATCAACTGGAATGACCAATATGCAGCTAACTGGCCGTGACCTTTACTCTCTCATACATTTGGCCTTGAACAGAAAATGTCAGGTATGTATTGCTGAACACTTTAACTCTGTGGCCAGAATTCTGCAAATTTTCAAAAATGTATTTTCAATTAAATGCTAAATTTCAAAAAGTCTTTTTATTCTTTTCAGCATTTTAATATTGTCACAAGATTTCTTTTCATTTTCCACAATCTCTTTAAACTTATACATCAATCATGATACCAAGTAATCAAACGATGAAGCTTTGATTGGTTGTTATACAAAATCTTCCACTATTGTAAACACCATGAATTGTTACCTAAGAAATGTAATTCATTTATGGATTTTAGGGACCCTTCAGCAAGTTCAGTTCTTCACAAGAACAGCGACCACCATTTGCAGGATTTCAACCAAAAAAAAGAAAAGGTGACATGTCAATGTTGTGCTTATGGATGTTGAAGATTTCTGAGCATGTTTGTGTATTATGGATTGTAAGGAAATCAGAATTGTAAACCTTAACCACTTCATAGTATGTTTTTCAGTTTGCCTATTTGAATAAGAGGGGTTTAAATTTACTCATCCAAACATTGGACCATTTCAAATAATTTATGCTCTCCAAAGGGAGAGAATTTAGTCGCCATTTTTTTAGTCCATCTGTCCCTTTGTCCATCCATCATAATTTTGTTTGGAGCATAACATAAAAAGGATACGAGGTATTTTGATATTGAAACAACATATCCTGATTATTTCTTTGGCATTGTTCTGACCCATAGTTGTCTTTGTTATGCCCTACTATTTTAGAGGGTGAGGGCGATAGTGTAACCCAGGCAGAGTAGCTGTGGACATGATTGATATTGTGTAGACTGAATCTTTCTCAGGTCCTAACTATAAACAGATTTGATATTTAAACCAGCTTAGAAATCTTAAAGGAAATTAAAGTGTTTTTAACCAAAATATTACACTTCCCCTTCAATGAAGTTAGGGGTATAAACTTGTAGTGTTTTACCCAAAGTAAACTCGAAGTGTTTTTCCCACAGTTTCTAGCACAAATCTCAGCCACTATGTGATGTGTTGACTATGTATAAGGTGCTGCTTCATGTACCAAAACGAAGATATTTTTGTATCAATAGTTTTGATATTTGATTGCACCGCTTGCAGAGAGCATATAAGCTATTATTTGATGGATTGCCTTCCCTTTTTGTATATGGATACAACATTGTAAGACACTATATTCTGTACCAAAGAGAGATCATTATGACATCATTTGACCTTTTGACCTCTTGACTTTGGTGTAGATAAAAGGTTTCCAAACTATATTTCAATCTCTTTGTGTAGTATGAAAACAACATAGTATTCCACACCACAACTTTGCACTTTTGATCTTATTTGACATTTTTAAGACTAATGGAATAAAAAGATTTTAATTCATATCTTGATCACATATTCATCTCAAGACATCTAGTGACTTAATTTTTTTTCAATTCATTTTTACACAGAAGTCAAAACAATTTAATGAGAATACCATGTATGAGCTAAGTTTCACAGTTAACCATATAAGTTACCTATATTACTAGAGATTACAAATAAATTTGTCAAACAATGACACTTTATTTATTTTTTTTCAGTCATTGAGATTGAGCATAATCAGAATATTATCTGCGAAGATGAAGAAACGATGAAAAAGCGAGCAAAACTTTTGGAGAAAAGCTTTGGCCTCGAGGAACAACCCTGTTTAGAGAAAGTGGAATATAAGGTAGGGAAATGGGACATGATCAGTTGAATATTATGAAGAATTTATTATGCACTCTGAAAATGGTTTCATTTTATGTAGTTGCTGTTTTGTCTGTCCTTTCATGTTTGGAGCATAACTTTGCTCACTGTTAAGCGAGGATCATGAAACTTGGTGTATACATTTATCATGCTATGGCAATGTGCAATATACCAAATTTAGGGTTCTTGACCAATCAGTTACAGAGATATTGCCTTTTGTTAAAATTTTCTTGTCTGAAGCACAACTTAAAATTGCTAACATATAAACTAAACTATGATAAGGAAATTGGTGTATACATTGATCATACTAAGTCAATGTGCATTTTGCCAAATTCATGGCCCATGACCCCTCAATTACAGAGTTATTGCCCTTTGTTACAGTTTTTATGTCTGGAGCATAACTTTACCTGTGGTTAAACTAGGATAATAAAACATGATGTATACATTAGTCACACCAAGGCAATGTGCAGTGTAGGAAAATCAAGGCCATATGACCCCTCAGCTATGGAGTTATTGTCTTTTGTTAGAATCTTATGTGCATACTTTTGCTTTTATTTGAACTAGAATGATAAAGTTTGGTGAATGCATTGATCATATGGGGAGGAGCTACAATATACATGCCCTGCCCACCTAAAATTACCACCCTTGGGTGGCTTATCAACTGTGCAGCTTTCGGGTAGATCCTGGTATTAAATTAAGTACCTGAACCCCCTAATGACAGGGCTATTGCCCAGTTTCACTGGTATAGTTGTTTAAATATATATGCTGATATGGTGTTATATGACATAACAAGTAAACATATATAAAAGAAATGTTTTGTTGACAATGGTGCCATATTATACATATTAGCTTCTCATGAAGGGGACATAGTGGCTTTACAAAATAAAAGATTTTTAACTGGTTGTTTAACATGAAACAGTTGAACTCTCCTTCCTTAAAGCAGCAAATACTTGAAACTGTCTTAAATTTATGGCCAGTCAACAATTAATTTCTACCTAACCTTAATATGACCACTCTATGTGTTTGTTAAAGTGAAGGGATTTAAGAGTATTTAACCTTAAACCTCCATAACTAAGGCAGACTATCATAAATGTGGTACTGCAACAGAAAATAAACTGGAAAAATATATGGAACCCATCTTTAATTTTTAGACCAATAATAAGAACATTTGGTATGCAAATTTATATATAGGTTTTACCTGAAATTATATATATATACAGTATATCCTAGTGGTTTGTCAGCTTAGTATATATATGCTTCGTCAGGTGGCGCAGTGGTAACGCACTCGCCTTTCACCTAGTGGTAACGCACTTGCCTTTCACACAATAAGACCCCTCCACGCTTACATCCAGGCCAACAAGAGTGATTAGTATAAGTTGACATAACTTGTTGCGCAATTGTTGTAAAATAATAAAGTTTATATTTTATATGTATGCTTCACTGGTTATTGGTTAGATAAAGGTGACAGAGTTACCCAAACATCCTACATATCACATAATGTTGACTTGTTATGTATAGTAGTATATTTAACATTTATATCACATGATTGTAGTATGATGTATCTCATAGGTTATCAAATCTTAATCAACATGAAACATAATTTAATAGAAGTAACAAGATTAAAATGATAACATAATATAAAAAGAAAGTTTTTCAGAAATTTGTTTGCACAATTCAATGTAAGAACTATTTTTCTGTCATGTCACAAAATGATACACAAAGATAACAATGAGATTTTTTTTTTTAAGGTGAAGACAAAATTCCGTGGCACAGACTATGTACCTAGTATGGCAAATAGACAAGATGCATTCAAATGTACAGTCAAGTTTGAAGGCACCAGTGTTCTAGAGGGGATCAGGAACTTAGGGGCTACAGGACTAGCTACTGTCCCCCTCCCAGGGCACCTGGCTGGTGTTCACTCCCTTGCTAAAAACCACTTTGTGATACAGGACCAAGAAATGACTCCAAGGAAACGCAGAAAGTAAAAAAAAATATTACTTTCGATAAAAACAGTTGTTTCTTTTGGATTTGTGGACTTCTTCACAGAACCTGTCTATATGGTGCCCTGGATTGTTTGCTATGTGGCTGAACTTGTCTGTATGGTACAGTAGGCTGTTTGCTACCCAGCTGAATTTCTCTATAGTGCAGTGGACTGTTTACTTCACAACTGAACCTTTTAATTCACTGGAGTTTACTGTTTGCTACCTGGTCAAACCTATCTCTGGCACAGTGGGTAGGACATAACCCTGACCAAAGTTCTCAAGAGACATGTGAAGTGAAAACACGATGCAACATAACCTGTTTATCTTAATGTGTGGATCATTTGATAGCTAGATATGTGTCATAGAAACATTAAGTTGGGGCAAAGTCAGAACATCCAACTACTCAGCTCAGCATTTTTTCATTTTAACCTTTGTTTTTAGGACTTTAGATTATCATTAGTTAAACACTTTTATTACGATGATAGTTCTTATTCTTTATCAGCATCCTGTGATATTGTTAGCTACTTTTATGTTGAATTTTAATTTGATGATAAAAAGGCCAGATTTTTCTTATGGTATGTTTTGGATCTTAAATAAATACTGGCCTTTACCTTTTATAACTATGAAAACTCATTTCATTAGTTTATGATTAAAATTAATAGCCTATTTCCATGTATGTGTATCATAACTGGTTCAATTGGAAAGCTAATAAAACTTCTCAGTGATCAAAATAACATACTTGCCTTTGTTGTATTGATTTTCTCTAGGAATAATAGGGGATCTGTCATTGTCCATTGTCTGACATTCATTAGAAATTAAGATATTTTCAATGGTCAGTAGCTGTTGTTCTTGACATTAAAAACTTCCAAACTCCAAAAGGTACTATATATATTATTTGTAATGACATTTTCACAGTTTGTCCAATGAATAGCATGTGCTCAAGTTCACAGAGGTTAAATATATTATCATCATATTCCTGACAACAATGAGTTGTCTGTTCATCCATCAACTTTTCTTTGGTAGCACTCTCTTACCAATTTGTAGACTGATTTTAATGAATCTAGTTACAAATATTACAACCAAAATTTTGTGATTATTTTTAGCAGGGTTATGTCCCTTTAACTGGCAAATATGGGTGTTGTGTAGAAAAATCTAGAACTTCTAAATTCTCTGTTCAGTTCCTTTTAAATTTGATATGGTGATACATGAAGTGAAGAGATTTGACCTATGTTACTAGTTTTTCATGTGACCTCATATTTTCAGAGTTATGCCCCCTTCTATTACTAAATATGGGCATTGTGTGCAAATGCAAGAAATGTGCAACTTCTTATTCAAACTTGGTAGATTTAATCACCATGAGATGAAGTTGTGTTTTCCTGAACATCGGTTTTATTCCACATTATTTGGAAGAGTTACTTCATATCCTTTGTTGTTTTCATAATGCTAATCTTGTTCCGAGATTTACTTTCTTAGTTTTCAACAAAATTCTTTCAAAATAGGTAGGTGTAATCACTGTGATATGAAGTTGTGTTTTCTTACATGGACATTTGAACCAACATTTTTTTAAGGAGTTATATCAGTTTTTGCTCTTTTTTTTAGCATTTCAATTTAATTTTCAGAGATCTGCTCAATCAATTGTTCACCAATTTCTTTGGAACTTAGTAGACTTTATAAGCATTACATGAAATTGAATATTCCTCAACAGATTTTAATTCAATTTCATGGGGAAGGGTTATTTCCTTTTATTTCTTTCAACTTTTTATCACGTCCAGAAATCTCTCCTCTCAGTTTTCAACCAACCCAACTTCTTTGAAACTTGGTAGGCTTGAAAACATGAGATGGTGATGGTGTTCTCATGAATGGCATTTTGATTCAATAATATTTCAAAAAGTTATTTTCCTTTGTTATGTTCAGTGTTTTAGCTCACCTGACCTGAAGGGCCACAGGAGCTTATGTGGTATGGTGTTGTGGTGTGGTGTGGTGTGTGGTGTGGTGAGGTGTGGTGTTGGTGTGATGTGGTGTGTGGTCCGGCGTGTCATCCATTGTCTGACATCCGTCCTGCCGTCTGGTGTCAACTTTTCCATATAAATAACATCTTCTCAGTAACCTACAGACCAATAGTCATGGTATTTGGTTGGTTGACTGCTGGGATGAAGATTGTAAATAGAAATGACCTTGACCCATATTCAGGATCATGGGTTGAATTTGTTAAAACCTTGAAACAACTTCTTCTGACTAACCAAAAGCACTAGTAGCATTATATTTTTTAATAAGTTCCTTGTGTATGTGTTAATGTATTTGTGATGAACATTGAATACCAAGAGAGCAGTTCAGGTACATCTTACAGTTTTCCAGCCATATTCCTGACATATTCCAGAAGGCTCAACGTTATGATATTTAAGTAGGTTTGGGGCTTTGACAGTTGCCAATACTCAATAGATAACAGGTGAAGAAGTTTGGTTATAGAAATTGTCTGAGCAGACACTCCAAAAATTTCAGTCAGAAAATTGCAGTCATCAAACTTGTCTGAGCTATCATAGAAATGAACCTTCCTCTAAAGTTTGAAGTTGATCCATTGAAAACTGCTATAGATGCTGTTTATGATAGTTGCTGATATATAAAAGGCCATAACTCTGTAATTTCTTTCCAAATACTGTGGTCATCAGAAGTCATATAAAACTACATTTAGCTGAAATCTTCTAATCATTTCACCTATCCTTGACCCAATATTCTTATGTTACAGCTGGGTGAAAAGTTTGACATTGCAGCCACATTGGCCACTTTTAAACCCCTTTTATACTCTTTCCACTATTCGGTAAACGTGTGGGTGTCTGTGCCCTACAAATCTTGTGTCAAAGATTACTCATAAATCCCTCAACAAATTCCTTTATATTAATATCAAAGTATCATACCATGATACTCTATGCCTGATGAGATTAATATGGTCAAGCCAGCATTTATTTTTTGTATTTTTGTGGGGATGGTGTATATATCTATATGTGAGCACTTCTGGTAACAAGAATATCAGCAAAACAGATGAACGTTATTACATGCAAAATTTTAACAAAGGGCAATAATTCTGTAACTAAGGGGCTTCAGGTACTGATTTTGGCACACTACATCTTCTTAATATGTCCAATATATACATCAAGTTTCATTATCCTAGTGATAATGAAAGCAAAGTTATGACCTTGACACAAAAGATTTAACAAAGGGCAATAATTCTGTAATTAATGAGTTGCAGGCCATAAATTTGGTACCCTGCATATCATCTTAGTATGATGAATGTTTACACCATATTTCATTATCGTAGTTTAATACTAGCAAAGTTATGCCACAGAAACAAAATTTTAAAAAGGGCAATAAGTCTTTAATAATGGGGTTGTTGGCCCTAAATTTGGTACATTACATATCATCTAATTATGATCAATGTATACACCAAGTTTCATTATTCCAGTTAAAATGCAAGCAAAATTGTACTCCGGACATGAAATTTTAACAAAGGGCTATAACTCTGTAATTGATAGGTCCCAGGCCCTGAATTTAGTACACTGCACATTGCTTTTGTATGACCAATGTATATTTCAACTTAAACCTTGCTTAACTGTTGGAAAAGTTATTCTCTGGACACAAATTTTAAGAAACAGCAATTACTCTTCTAAAGGGGGTTGTGGGCCATTATATCAGTACACTGCAAATTGTTCTTATCAGATCAGCGTAGCATCAAAATTCATTATCTGCAAGCAACTTATGGTTATGTTGTGGACACAAAATTTTAATGGAGGACAGTAACTCTGTAATTAAATGGTTTTGGGTACTGAATTTGGTACACAGCACATTGTGGTCAATGTATACATTAACTTTCATTTTCCTAGTTAAAAAGATATGCTTTGGATATGAAATTTTGATAAAGAATAACTCTATAACGTTTTTGAAATGAATATAAATGAGGGTATTTAGGGAAGGATGCTAATAGAATTTGTGATTTTTTTTATTTGGTCAAAAATAGACATGGCAGAAATGTAACAATTTGTGTAATTATTGCACAATCATGGTTATCCTAAACCAGTTTTTGCTCAAGCTTGCCTGGAATAATGATTTGAGATGGTCATGATCAAAAGTTGTCATTGTACATAATGTCACATTCTCAAATGAGAAAAAGGTATACAACACTGAAATCAGCAGGCAAACTAACAAGCATCAAACATGTCCAACTACTTCTAACTTTTCCAAAATGCCAAAAATAATGATATTTTGCTCATAGGTTCTGGGACAAACTTTGCAAAAGGAAATCATCTTGACCTCAATTAAAGGCATCTGGGATTAAATTTGTTATCAACTTGTTATCATTAATCAAGACATTGAATGTCAATGATATGAAATGGAAATGTATTTGTAAATAGCATTGACCAAGTGAAGAGTGATGCTGGCCCATTGGGCTGTATGGTTTCTTGAACTGTGAGAGCAGTTGGACTAAATCTGATCAGAAGTGCCCTTACGGAAAGGCCAACTGATTTGTTTAAACAGTCTTGGGTCAGAGGGATGGGGCCCATTAAGGGAAATTCAGCAATTTTTCTCCAAATCCATCTGACAAATGACAGGATTTGTCCAAATTTTGAAGCATCTAATGGTGAAGAGGACTTGACTAAGTATTTACATAGAGTTCTGGCCATCTTTGGGACTGTGGGTCCAATATGGGAAATATAGGCAAATTTACCTTTACCTTCAAAATACTTCTGTTGAGATGAAGGTATTGCAAGGAAACTGGTTTAAAACATTTACCTCGTGGGGACTGCATTTCAATTGACTATTATATCTGTGCATGAACTATAATATCCATATGCAAGTCTGGTGATCTGCAGACAGGAGCGGTGTGGCCCAAGCTAAAAGGCAAATCTTTGAAATCCATTGACTGTTGTTGTCTTCACTATAGATTTGTTTGAGCTAATCATCATTGACAAGTAATTAATTTTGTATAAACAAAGAGATGATCTGGCCCAACGATGATCTAAGAAATGGGGTCGAATATGGCAAATTTAGTTAAATTACAATCTTTGAAATCTTTTTCTGTTTGGATGAAGGTATTTTGAATTTGATTTAAAGCATCCTTGAAGGAAGGGGCAGGCCCACCTGGCCTGAGGACTGGGGAAATTGCACAACGCCCACGAGGGGAAATAAAGACAAATACAGATAGCTCTTACTTTCTAATTATGTTTTTGAATATGACTGCTTAACATTTGAGAGAAACATGGTTCAATTACAAGTTATAGCAGTTTCTTTCGTAATTGATCCCACCACCACTTCTATAACCTGACCATTGCCTTGTTGCAATAAATATAGAAGACTTGTCTATACATGTAACCATGGATAACTATGCTATTTTATTGTTTATCTTCATCACGTT